ACATCTCCTGAAAGGTACACCGTAGCGACAAAATTACATCCCCTGAAAAGTATGAGTATTTATTCCTTTGTGAGAAAATCGCATGCATAGTAAGAGGTAGCTAAGAGGTAGCTTCATCAATCCGTCTCTTTCCCATTGCGGGCCTCTACAGAGACAGCACTGGTTTAGGGTTTTTTGGCACTCACACTTGGACAATCCGGGAAAGTAAACCCAAAACCCTAAAAACCCTAAACTCTAAACCCGGGTTAAGTATTGGGGATCTAAGTCACAGGAGCCCTAGGCAGATCCCTTATAGATCCCTTTAAGTGAACACTTATAGATCTCTTTAACGGTTAGGTATTGGGGATCTAACTTGAAGGGCATGGGAAGTAAACCCTAAACCCTAAACTCTAAACCCTCAGCATGGGCTTGGATTGTGTGCCAGCGAACACTCCTCAACCGCAGGGCCTTCTCGTTTGACGAGGGATGCAAACGCGGGAGTGAAAGAAAAACGAGAAACCCTAAACCCTAAACCATACTGGTTCGTAAACCCTAAACCCTAAACTCTAAACCCGGGTTATGGCTTGTGTGCATTGTTGCAGGGCATGGGAAGGGCTCCAACAGCCGCGCCGCTGCCAGCCTTGCCACACGGGTTTAGGGTTTATAGGGCTTATACGGTTTATAGGGCTTATAGGGTTTATAGGGTTTATAGGGTTATTAGGGCTTATGGGGCTTATAGGGTTTATGGGGCTTATGGCTTTTGAGTTTAAGGCTTTTGACGTTTACGGTGCTTGTTGCCTCCCGCCTGGTTGGGACGAACCTACAAGGCAGGGTACATCAGTTGACTGGGGTCCAGCTGACAATTCTACCGAGGGCCGAGGACTCAGGGAGTTAGATTGCTTTGAAGGCTTCTTTTTCTCCTGCGAGGTGCACGAGACCGTTCTGATCGGGTGCAAAGGGGTTTAGGCTTGAGGTTTAGGCCTTGGTGGCTTCAGAAAGTCATGGACCCCAATATGCCCTGAATAATCAGATCCTTACATTGTCGACAACCCATTGGGAGTTCTGGGCTGAACTCTTGAATCACAGTGCTGGGTTTAATTTATATAGGGTTTGGGCACAGTTTGCGGTGCACAGCTTCGGGCTCGGCGCTTAGAATCGTGTTTGGAATTTGCATGACCACAACGTTACGAAGGAACCCCAACAAAAATCTTGGCAATTATTTGGCCAGTTTGGCCCCTCAATATTCCTTAATTACATAAGGGATATTGGAGGCTCTGCTTATGCTTCTGATGCTTTCCAGCTTCGGGTTTATGTAGGAATAGCTTTATTGGCAGCTGGGGAAACAGCACCAATGACTGCTTGTAGCTCCAGTGTTGACCCACCCATGAACATTCACGTCCTCCAAGTGGCAAGGACATCCAACCCACAAACTGCCAGACCATGTTGGCACGAAAGAACTGCAGAACCCACGGTTTCTTGGCCAGGGCACATGGGCGCATCTGCCATGACGGCCATGGATCCAATCCACAGGCGCGGCTAGGACGAAATTGGAAGACAGTTTTGTGGAAAGCGGTTGCTGCGTGGGCTGTACTGTCAGAACGTTAGGATGAGCATCCTAAACCCTAAACCCTAAGCCCTTAACCTTAAACCCTAAACCCTAAACGTTAAACCCTAAAACTGACCTCTCTGACAGTGTTCGTTGTCACGCCGTCACGTGGGGAAGATCTGAAGCTGCCGAGTCGTGGCTGCGAGGCTCGCTCTGACCAGAGGCTCCAGCCGGTGCGGCAAAAGAGTCAACGGAACATGTACCCATAGCCCAATACCCCTCAATGAAGGAATATGGCTTAAGTCATAAATCTGTCGCCCTTAATGATTTAAGGTATATTCCTTAATTGGGGTATTGGGCTGTCTGGGAAGGGGCCTGACCCTGCTCTGTACAACAATTACGAAATGCACGACAACCGAACACAATCACAAATGCCACAGCAGCAGTAGGGGCCTTAACGATTGGGACATGTCTTTGAGGTACATGTATAACTACTCTGAGGAGGTACTATTGCTAATTATTCCGACCCCTATATAAGTGAACAGCCCTAAGCCCGCAGCCCTAAGCCCCGCAAAGGATGCAAGAAGTAGCCGGACCGGAACCACAGAAGAGAAAACTTACACAGGGAGGTTTAACACTTTAATATCTCAAACATGAAAATTTGAAACGTTTAGGCGCACCCTTGTGAGAATGGGGCTTCTGTTCCCTATACCCCCCTTAGAACCATAATGACTAATAAAAAGCCATATGTTCAATAGTCTCTTGGGTTCTATATGAACGAAAACGGAACATAATTCCTAGGGACACTATAGTTCCTGCAAGCGCATACAATGAAGCCTTTGAAGGACCCTGGCTCAGGATGCACAGTTCCTTCTTCATAACCAAGCACGACGTGCTTGACATCTGAATTTGGAACGACAACATTGCATCATCCTTGCCCGACGAGCCGAGAAACCTGAAGCAAGAAAGACCGGCTTCCATGCAAAGCTTGCAAGCTGTCGCATTGCAGGTTCAGCCCTTGCAAACGATTGCATCCAGATGAGAGGGTCCGGCGACAATGTCTGTGCCTTGCCCATCACGAGGCAAAAGCAAAGCGAAGGCAAGCCAGCGATTTCCAACGTAAGTCAACTACACCAAATATGGGGCTGGCCATTGGTCAGCCGCCTCCGCACGAGCGGTGGTACCCAGAGAGCTCAGTACCCCTTAATTAAGGAATATGGCTTGCACTATATAGGGCTTCATATTATGATTTAAGCCATATTCCTTGATTAAGGGGTATTGGGCTCTCTGGATACCAGCCTCAAGTCAACATGATGGCTCAGAAACGCTCGCGTTCTTCATGGCCCGACCCGGTCACGGGAGGATCTCTGCATTTGGAACGACAAACTGGTTCTTCCCAGCCTGCAAGCCTTAAGCAAGCCATGCCCCAACAAAGCTCCGCACTCCACGCCTGCCATCCAAATGTGCCATTGTGCCATCGCGCCAATCTGTTGTGCAAGCTGGCTCAGGCATGACTTGTCGCTTCATGAGCCCAACATGTGTTGGGACTTCTGAATTTGGAACGACAACTTTCATTCACATCACTGCCAGCTTGCGGGGATGGCGCAAGAGGTCGGACCTTCTGGGCTCATGGCTAGAGATGTGTTTCGTGAATGGGCCTGCCGAATCAACTACCCCACCCGCAACCGAAGAACAAGAATCAAGCATACATGCACATACGTCAGAAAGCACATGTCCTAGAGTCCTTGGCCATATGCCGCTGCAGGGTGCATCTGACTAGTGCTTATGTGCAGTATGCAGTAGCTAGTTGTCCTGCTGTAAAAAGAACATGACACAGCTGATTGTCTGACCCAAGGAATGGCATACCCACATGTGTTAGTTCAAACATACATTATACATATACACATGTACGCATATGTCTGTACGTAGGTATAACTATACAAATACATGTACACATACACATGCAAATACATATACATATACATACTGTAAATATATATATATATATATACATATATATATATATATATATATATATACATACAGGTATTTGTACACACACATAAATACATACAGAAATAATATATATATATATATATATGTATATATATATATATTATATATATGTATATGTATATGTACACACACAGTTTCCTTCGTGTATCCTTAAAGGATTGCCTTGCACATGTACACACACATGTGTATATATATTTATACACACAGTTATAAACATGATGATATTAGAACATGAGAAAATATGACATCCTCTCCTGTACTAGACTATACTCTACCCTGTTCACTATACTGAACTAGAACATGCTGCACTGTAACTGATGCATCATTTTGTCACACTATACTTTTTGATATTATACCATATACAGTATAGCATTCCACAATGCCCGTGGGCTGTATACGAGCAAATCCCAGACCAGAAGCTCACCCTTTGTTTTTGTCCAGCTCGCCTGCGTCACTGCACCGGAGCTCCCAGAAGGTGTTGGGTTTAGGGTTTAGGGGGCTCGTGGGTCCAGAGCAGTTGAGAAACCACGTGTGCTGTACAGTGGCAGGTCTGTGCCACTGCCTGACGCATAAACTCGAGTCAACTGCGAAGCACACCCAAACCTACGACGGGGGCGGAAACGGGTCCCGATAATTCATCCCAGGTTTGAGATTACATGCTACCGCCTGTCTATCCTTACACCCTTATAGCTTCGGTAGCTGCATCCTGTGGGCCTTGACTAACAAGGCCTTCGGAGCCCTAGGAGTTTGGGGTGCCTTGCTGCTTCACACACGAACCAAGCGTCCATGAGAGAAGGACTCATGGGCCACAGGCCAGGACAGGAAGAAGGCGGGCTCAACTCTCGCAACTCCTGCACGTCAGAGTCGTGTAATGCGGGGGGAGGATGGCGTTATGAGAAGAGGGTCGTGGGGTATATTATAGCTTAAAAACGAGGAACCCAAAGGATTGCTTCTTGCCAAGTCTTGCCAAAGCCCAAACCCTGAACCCTTAGATGATCTAAGGCCCGATGGTACGTGCGGGGTTGGGAGCAGGCAGCGAGCAGCTGCTGGTGTTCGGCCTAAGTGTAAAAACAAAGAGCTTCCGTAATATTGGCGTAGTCTGTAGAGTATAGAACAGTATCTCATAGCACTGTGGAGTCAGTAAAGTTTAACATGTTATTGCCCCTAAAGCCTAAAGCCTGAACCACAATCTTTCCGGGGTGGTATACATCTCCACGGAACATCTCGATTCATGCAGGCACTGTCGACGAGTCCACTGCCGGCTGCCGGTGTCTGTTCGGGTGGCGGGATCATGCTCTCAGCCCTCACTCTGCACCCATAACAGCATACATGTCCGGCGCTAAACCCAATCCGTGAACGCTTAAACTAGGGGTGACTCTTTTTAGAGTACTTATAACCCTACGTCCTATGTATAACTTACTTACTAAAGTCCCCTGGGCCTCTGCCAGGGCTTGGCAGATCAGATGAAGACAGCCGTTGCGCCCTTGGGCGGCGTATGCCGATTGAGCATCTCGCGACGGCGCTGCACCTTCAAGGAGGTTCGGATCTAGGATTTAGGGTTTAAGGTTTCGGGTTTAGGGTTTGTTTAATCCAAGCTAAACGGTCGTCGGTTGCCGTGAAGGCAGTGACACTCCCACCCGGCTAGACGATAGAGGCTCGTATGGATGGCTCAGGACCTTTTGGGCGTAGGGCCCTTGGACCCTCCACGAGGACTGGTGCAGTACGCTCATCTGAGATTTAGTCTAGTGGGTGTAGGGTTTGAGGTTTAGGATTTACGGTTTAGCTGTTAACTTTACGATAGAACATTCATCTAGCCATTTCTAGCCCAAAGCCTTGCCCTTCTCATGAACCTCGAAGGACAATGTCAGGAAACCTGACTACTGAAGAATATGATCTGAGACTCCTGCACTGCGTGTGCTATCACGGACAGAGCCGTCGCTTGCTATAACTCACTTCTAAAAGAAACACAAAGGATTCACCCATTGAGCGCCCATTCGGGTCGAATCGCACCTGAAAACTACACCCTCCAGACTTTGCGGCGGAGCCAGCACAACCTTCAGATCGTGATGCCTTCGGACTCTCCATAGTTTGGGGCTTCAAGTTCGGAGCCTAGGTTTTAAGGGACCCTAATGTAGGAACCTGATTAAGAAACCCTGGGCATCTATTAGGGTGCCCTATATGAACCCCACTGTTTGGGGGATTCTAGGCCCCGGGTTTCTTAAGCAGATCCTACATCAAACCGTGAACCCAAATGTTGCTTCGGAAACTGCACAACTGTCCCTAAACCCTCTTTTTTTGAGAAATAGTGTAATAGTAGTAGTCATAGTAGTAATAGTAGTAGTCGTAATAGTCGTAAAAACAAGTAATAGTAGTACCCTAAACCCTGAACCACACCGTCGGACCCGGCTGTAAACACTTTCAAGGCCAGTCCGAACCTTCGGGTTTAGGGCTCAGGCGGACGCATTACGACTTCTCTTCAACTTGGCGGTTAATGTACCCTAAACCCTAAAGAGCCTTTTAAACGAAATTACTAGATTATCGGGGTTTGCCAATCCCTGCAAAATTGAACACTCCCTGACCCGACTCCTAAAGGATCCAACAGGCTAGATCTTGTAAGGGGGTTCACTTTCCTGGTTCCTTACGCAAATTTTCAATGGATCTATCTAAGGGTTTGGGTTTATTAGGGCTTACGACATTTATAGAGTAGATCCGATAAGCAGGCTTCTGTAAGAACCCTTTTGTAGGATCCTTATTACCAAGACTTGTGTCCTCGCCGGGCAGCCATCGTGGGGTTTAGACCCTACCAAAACTTACCTTTCAAGGACTTGAATGAGCAAGACCTAACAAGGAACCGTAACAAAGTAGGTCTCACGGTAATGACTATTATGGGGTTCAGGTAGCGCTTGAGGGCTAACTTGTTTGGGGCAGCTGCCCTTAACCTATCTTACAGCCAAAGCCCTCTTGAGGTATGCCGAACTTGCAGCCCTGATTAACAAGCGGGAGTTCCCGAACATCCCCAAAATTAAAGTAAAGTACCCCTGGTTTTCGGAAGCTCCCATCTCCCATCAGCCTCCAACTTCGCCTTCGCTTGGCTTTAAATCCTAAACCCTGAACCCACCTCACAGGCGCAGGTGAACGTGCCGGGCGTGCTGCAATTCAGCCTGCACACTTGCGGGCTGATGTGGAGGTTCCAACTTCACTTTCAATCACTTCGGGATTATTTGAACACTTCCATCGTGGGCAAAGTTCATTAATTGTCAATTGTTGTATAATCTTTGGCCGGGGCACTGAAACACGGCTGTCGGTAGGGCAGTGTTGCTACGTCAAGTCACAGCCAATCCCCCTTCTCGTAGCCTTTCGCTGCTGCATTGCTATTGCTATAGGGGTCTTAAGCATTAGAATAAGGTTTGGGGGCCGATTTTTCTTTCCTTACAAAGAGGAACCCCCACTAATAATATGTGTAATTCCGGCTCCTATACTACTTCCCAACACTGGCCGGCATCTGAAAGGCTTAAGGCTGAAATCATGTATCGAAGGTTTCTTCGCAACCCCTTAAATCTTTCAAACCCTCTGCCCTAAACTCTAGACCCTTAGCCCTAAGGCCTAAGGTGTGCTTGGATATTCTTGGATATTCCCTTTGTGTAGGACTCCCTGGGGATTCGGATTTGTCGGCGCATACCTGGAGGTTCATGGGTAGTTGCGTAGCGTTAGAAGTTAGAAGTAGGGTAATTCGTGACCCCATGTTAGGGGGCTTATAACCTCACGTATATCTACCCATGAACCTCCAAGTAGTGGTAAGAAGGACAAGAACTACCTGCCTTGGTCGTGTACGGCTTGAGTTTTTCAGTTCAGGGTTACGACCTGGGTTTAGTGTTTAGGGTCCTACAAATTTGCTGGAAGAGACGGGGCTTTGATTGCTTCTATCTCGGAAGAATAGTGTTTTGATCACAGCGCCACTAAGGACGGGCTCCAACTCCCGAACTCTTTGAAAAGCCGAACTCCAAATCAAGCGCAACCTTTGAATCTGACACACAACTTTGCCAGCGCTTCTCCGAAGATACTGCATGCTTGTAGGTGCTCTAAACCCTAAACCCTAAACCCCTAAACACCCCTCTAAACCCGCCAGTTAGGACTGTGCTCGTGACAGCGCCCCTAGCTTCTCCTGAACCCTGATCCCTGAAACAGGTGTCCTACACTTGATCTCACTTATTTGAGGGGCCGGAGAATCCAGGAAAAATGAGCTGAACCCTGAACAACTTTGAACCCCAAACCGCTAAACCTTCAATCCCAACCCAAAAAACCCCAAAACCCTGAACCCCCAAAACCCTGCAACTCTAGAGCGCAGACCCCCCAACGAGAATGGATCTTAAACCAGCCTGGCAAAATACGCAGGATGACAGGAAAACCTCCCACCCACAAACCCTCAACCTGAAACCTTAACCCGAACTTCCTAAACCTAAACCACTATGCACCTCGAAACCCTTTCCCCTACGCCCCCCCAAAGCCCTACTAGGAGGTTCATGGGTAGTTATAAACGGGCTTATACGTCGCCTAATATGGGTTATACCCCTACCTCTAACTACCCTGAACCCGAAACTCTATAGAACCCAAACAGGATTCCTAAACCCCTTACAAGTCTACTTCTCACTACCCATGAACCTCCAAGCAAACCTCGGGGGAACCCCCTAAACCCGAAACCCTCAGCCCTAAACCCCTATACCCTAAACCCTAAGCCCTAAACCCTAACCCCTAAACCCTAAGCCCTAACCCCTAAACCCTAGGCCCTAACCCCTAAACCGAACCTGCCTCTCGCCCATACTTTTGCCCTCCACGCCCATGATGGAAGGCCTCAGTTTCCGAACAACCTTTAAGTCTAAGGGGTTTAGGGTTTATAGGGTTTAGGGTTTGGAGTTTAGGGTTAGGGGTTTAGGCTTACGGGTTCGGGGTTGCGGGTTTACGATTTAGGCTTAAGGGTTTAGGGTTTTTTTTGTTTCAGGGTTTGGGGTTAGGGGTTGCAGAGGTTATGGGTTTATAGGGTTAAGGGGTGTAGGGTTGAGGGTAGGGTTTAGGGCCGAGTCTCCTAACCACCGGTCACTATTGGGGTCTATTGGGGTTCTACGAGGGTTGACGCAGGCTTCTCAGAGCGCTTTCTAGGGTAAGGATTGTATAAGGGTTCTTAGGGGTCTTTCTATACGTAGGGTTCTGTGAGGGTTTTATAAGGGCTCTGAAAGCTCTTTTTTTGTTCTGTCACGAAGGTCTCAACCGAAGGTGAGTCTCTGGGTCAGGCGAGTTCACGTGAATGACTGGAACCATGCAGTCGACCGGGTATACCTGCAGCCTCATACCCTACAAAACAAAGACCCCGTTGGTTGGAGGATACAGCCCCCCATAAACAGTGGGCTGTCAGATCCAAAGATGGGCTTGAGGTTCAAAAGTTGTGGGGATTAGTTTAGTATTAATAGGGGGTTGAGGGTTGAGGGGGCTACGACTTTGGTAAGGCACAAAACCCTAGGCCATAAGCCCTTGAGCCCAAACCCTACTTGGAGGTTCCTGGGTAGTTATAAGTGGGGTTATAAGTCCCCTCATGTGGGTTAAAAGGATAGTGACCCTACTTGTACCGCAACTTCTAACTACCTATGAACCTCCGAGTAGACCCTACCCCCCCTATACCCTTGTAGAATCCCTGTAGATCCTTCTAAAGGGACCCTTATAACTGCCCATGAACCTCCAAGTAACCATCCCTACCTAAACCCCGAACATCAACATCCGAAACCCCTAGCCCAAAACCCCAATCCCTAATCGCTAAGCCCTAATCCCTAAACCCTAGACCCCTAAGGTCAGGGCGGGTAGTTGCCGCTGTTCTGCCGCGTGTCCGCAAAGGCCGACCACCAGTTTTGGGCACCCTGCAATAGCTCCGAGGTCTGTTGAGGGGGTTTCCTTTAAGGGTTCTTCCAGGGTTACTATAAGGGTACGAGTACTATACTTGGAGGTTCATGGGTAGTTATACGTGGGGTTACAAGTCCCAGAATATGGGCTATAACTATAGTTGCCCTACCTCTACCCCTACGTATAACTACCCAATGAACCTCCAAGTAAGGGTTTAGAGTTTAGGGCACCCTGCAAAAGCTCTTGGCTCCAAGGTCTGCTCACATGTAGGAGCCTAGATACTTAGCAACATTATTTCGGGGGCTCCTTCCTACAATTGTATACCCCAAAACCCTGTTCTAATTAAGGCCCCTACCAGTTTTGGGGTTGGGCTTCGGGCTTTAGAATTTCGGCTTCAGGGTTTGGGTTTCGGGTTCAGGGTTTCGGCCTTATTGGATGATTAAGGCTTCTAGGCCTTATAGGGTTAGGGGTTCAGGTACCTCCCATCAACATCCGGAAAGGCTCACGGAAGAAAGACCAATGGCTTCATAAAAAAAACTAAAACCCTGAACCCCAAGCTCTACCTCTAGACCTCTCTCAGAACCCTTTTTAAGCGCGGACTTGGAATGTATGCCGTCAGCGAAGCTCTCTCAGAACCCTAAACCCTAAACCCTGAGCCCCTAAACCCTAAACCCCAGAACCCTAAACCCTGCGCCCCTAAATCCGAAACACCGAAACCCCTAAACCCAAGGCAGCATAGAAAAGACCGAAGGTGGCTTCCTACTTGGCGGGTATCATGGGGAAGTAAAGGTTAAACTTTTTGGTTACATAGGGAATATATAGGGACGGTGCTAACCAAAAGAGGTTAAAGGTTAGCTACTCTACTACTACGTAGAGCCTTTGGAGATTCATGGGTAGTTATAGGTAGGGTTATAAGTGGGGTAACTATACTTATGACCCCTATCAGGGGACTTATAACCCCACTTATAACTACCCTAAACCCTAAAGCCCTAACCCCTAAATCCCTATAGAACCCTTTAAAGGAACCCTTAAAGGAACCCCTAAAACCCCACTTAAAGCTACACCTAAACCCTAAACCCCATACCTTTATAGAATCCCTATAGATCCCTTTAAAGGGATCCTCAAAGGAACCCTTAAAGGAACCCTTAAAACTACCCCTGAACCCTAAACCCTATACCCTTATAGAATCCCTATAGATCCCTTTAAAGGGATCCTTAAAGGAACCCTTAAAGGAACCCTTCAAATCCCCTTAAAAACCCCACTTATAACTATCCATAACCGGCTCCCGGCTCGATCTGCCTCGAAGCGCGCTCCCTTGCCGCCTTCTCCCAGCTCCTGGGCTTCTTTGGGGTTTAAGGGGGTTTGAGGGGTTTGAGGGGTTTAGGGGTTAGAATTTAGGGTTTATAGAGTTTGGGGGTTTAGGGTTTAGGGATGGTTTATAAGGTTTGGGGTTTAGGGTTTAGGGTTTATAGGGTTTAGGGTTCCTTTGAAGGGCTTCTTTGGTCTGAAGGTTAGGGCTTTTCTGCACTTAGGGTTGTTTGTGTTAGAGGGCCTAGGGTTGAGAGCGTAGGAGTTTATGGGCTTAGAGTTCAGGAGTTTAGGTGTTCAGGGTTTAGGGATGTTGAGGGTCCTGGTTATCGACTTGCTGTTGTCGTCTTAGTTTTGTTTAGGAGTTGATTTGTGTTGGAGGTCTCAGATTCAGAACACCTTCAAGGGTCACAGATTGTGGTGCCCCCTGCTCGGGCTTTGAGATTTCGAGTGCTGGGGCATATCCAGAAGTGTGCCAAGCTTCAGGTGATTAGGGCTTTTGTGCGTCAGTGCATTAAAGAGTCCAGGGTTTACGGGCAGTTGCAGATCTAGGGTGTGGCTGTCTCGAATGGGGCACAGGTTCCAACACAAATCAAAACACTTAGATGTAACATCCCCCGTGCCGTCGCTATGTAAGTACGACATATACTACCATGGACCCCAAAGCCCTGTTCTAATTATTGAGGTCACGCATTAAATCCGGGGTTCAGCGACCGTTCTGCCTCTTCCCTCCTTTCCCGGAAACACTGACCTCTATGAGCTCATCTCCCGATATCGGTCTCCGTACTACGGGGGCCTGACCACCCTGTTAGCATACTCAACCCTGAACCCTTTTGCAACTGGACTCACGAATGCCAACAACAAGAGACATGCAAGCAAGTACCCGGAATCCTAGGTCCACTACGCTCTCTCCCTGCTCCTGCGCCATGGCTGCCAAGGCATCGGCACCCCACTGCCAGGTGACCTTCCGTTCCGGCCAAAGGACACTACGAGCAGCGATCCCGACACCTGATACTCACCAGTTTACCAGTTTAGGGTGCCTTCATAACTAAAATGACCAGGGTTCTTGGCCCTGATATAGTACACTTCTACAGATTGTTACTTATCATTCCTACATTCTACACACTGTAGAGCCCTTTTAGTAATAATTTGCCACCTTTCGTTGTGAACAATACTGAAAACCTTGCGTTGAGGTCTAAAGTCCATAAAAAAAAATCCCTGCTTTTAGCTACACTTGGAGTGCTGTAACCCTACACGCTAGACCCAAAACTAGCTGTAAACCCCAAAGCCTAAACCCCAGACCCTGCACACCAAAACCCTAAACCCAACATCCCAAACCCAAAACCTAAACTCCTATAGTACCCTTCTAGTAGCCCTTATACCCCCTGAAGGAACCCCTACAGTACCCTTATAGTAACCCTTAAAGATCCCTTGAAGGAACACCGGAAATCAGGTGAATAGAGGCCTGCTCGACGCTGGAGCGCAAGCATGTCGCTTCGGGTGTAAGGCCTCACAGGCCCAAAAACCAGCTAGGTTTCAGGGTATAGGAAACTCCAGAAAGTTGGAATACGGTTTCACGGTGTTCCTTAAAGGGATCTATAGGGTTCCTTAAAGGGGTCTATAGGGTTTAGGGAGTATTTAAAGGATCATGGGACTTGGTAAGTAGGTTATAAGTAGGGTTATAAGTCCCCTAAGTGGAGTTATCCTAATTAAAACCTACTTATAACCTTACTTACTAAGTCCCATGAGCCTTCAAGTAAGGGTTTTTGAAAAACACATTGGGCCTTCTCCAGGGTAAGGGTTTAGGGTTTAAGGTTTAGGGGCGAAGGGGCTCAAGGTGCAGGGGCTTGGGATTTACCTTAACCCCGAAGAGCCTACATTTTTAAGGACTTATATAAAGAAATCAGAATAAGGAACCCTAAAAGGGTAGGTTATTCAGGGTGAAGGTAGGGTTTATGGGTTTAGGCGGTTTAGGGGTTTTGGGCTCACAGCAATATAGCATGCGAGCATATGGCGGCCTGTCAGGACGACTTATGTTTATGATAAGGGCTAGATAAATTCGCAACAACAACCTCAATTATTCAAGTAAGTTTATTATTGCAGGATCTCAGTGCAACTATCAAGTTATCAAGCCAAAGGCCGTCTGGCAAACTCCTGGCACCGGAAGTGTGGTGTTGAACCCCCCCCCTGTTAGCCCAAACACCTTACACTCTTAGCCCTGAAACTCTGAACTTGGCCCTAAACTCTAAATAGGGTTTAGGGTTTAGGGTGTAAGGGTTTAGGGTTTAAAAAGTCACCAAACCCTAAGCCCTGAAAAAGCGTGCGTTCCTGGAGGGACAAATCAGGGGCATGCCGAACTGCTTCCATCTATGAAAGCCACAGGCTGTCCGTGGAATCCGGATCTTCGACCATGCCAAGCAGCCGGGTTGATGAATGACCGCTTCCTCAACCTTAGCGTGGCTTTGCACGGCCTGCTTGTTTTCAAAGGCTTTGGGGGTTAGGGTTATTCCAAGTGTTGGGAATATAAGTTAGACGCTGCCCCCACCCTGTAATAGTGACTATAAGGATTATATTCGGGCCCTGTTATATTCCTATTATACCACTATTACAGGGTGGGGGCAGCTTCTAAAATATTAGTGTTTCTGGAATTTCAGAGCTCATGTAGGAGTTTCGGAGTCGCAGGAGGTTTCAGGCTTGTAGAGTTTCATATCGGGGCCTTGGTAACTAGAATGGGGTTTGGGGGAACATTAAACTGTAATTACAATAAGGGGCCCCCACTAGCAGCTCACTAGCATTAGTGATTATTAAAGCCCCCACATCATGGTATCCTTATAGTAACTTCCATAGTAACCCTTGTGGGACCACTTTAAAGAAACCCCTGTAAAAGGAATCCCCAAAATAGTTTTGGTAATTATGTGGGCCGCTATAGTAGGGTTCTGCGCTTTAAAGATTTAGGTGCTGCATCGCAGGCCTTAGCAAAACTCGGAAGCTCATTAGAGTTGGCGCCAAGGCTTGATTTAGGGTTCAGGGGTTTAGGGGTTCAGGGGTTTAAGGGTTTAGGGTTTAGGGGTTTAGGGTTTAGCTTGGAAGCGCCCCTGCAGGCCTTGCAACTCTGCGAACACCGAATCTATTTCCAAGCAGCCTAGCAAATGAATATGTACGATGTATAGCAGCAAGCTACGTCCGAGCCTCAAGGGCACAACTTAAACTGTTGCACCAGATCTTCTCCAGAACATGTTGAAGTGAAGATGGCCAGTGCGAGTAACTGTAAGCGAGGATCCCGCAGAGACTTCGGCTCTCGGTGGAAAAGCACGTTGAACCCTCAAGATGTTTACAGTCGACTATCCATTTCGATAAACCATCAAAACCAGGACCAAAAGTCCTACAGCACCTAAACAGGTAAAGCAACAAGTTCGAAACGTCTTGCCGCCTTGTCTACACCACCCAAGTTTGAGCCCAGCCGCATCCCCAGGCACGTCCGTGCGAAGGCCTTGCACAAAAGACCAACTCTCATATGATTTGAGCTCTGTGCGAGTCTTGAAGCTTTGAAGACGGTACACCAGAAGAGGGTTCCATCATGACAGCCTAGACCCATTGTTTGGCACTCGCACTCGAGTAAGCAGGCGAGGTTTCTGGGTAGTTGAGGTGGTCAGAGGAATTCAGGCACATTGACCCTAGACCCATACAAGGGTGCACCCGGCCCGCCCTGTTGACGGTGAATACTGCTTGCCGAGGGAGCAATGCTGGAGGTGTGGAATTGACAGGAAACTGCAGGAATGGGCAAGAGCTGGCCAACCAACGAATGCAAAAGCACAAAACACGAGTTGAAAATAGTGGTTACGGTTAACACGGACACAGAAAGAGAGAGAGAGAGAGAGGTCGTCAGCATCACCGGCATGCACATCAACAACGGTAGAGCATGGTAGAACCCTGACCACAATCGCAGTGGTGCACTCAAACATTGCTGTTGGCTGCTGGCTCTTGCGCATTTTGACTTTCGCTTGAAACCAGGCCCCTTAACGGATTAGTGTACGGCCGCGAAGAGTAGGAGGAGAGACCCTAAACCCTAAACCCCAAACCCTAAACCGCTACTAAACCCTAAACTCTGAACCCTAAACCCTAAACCGCACCTTCAACAACTGAACCCCCGCTTTTCTTTCTCTAAGCAGCGAGAACCTGGAGCCGAGGTCAACCCCAAGCCTCCCTAAACCCCAATCTCCGAAAACCCTAAGCCCTAAAGGGCTAAGCCCCTAAACCCTACACCCTAAGCCCTATACCCCATACCCCAAGCCTGCCGGAGTAGACATGCCACGTGCGAAAAACCCTAAGCCCGACACCCCCAAGCCTTGAGGCCTAAAACCCCAAAACTAAAAGGTGATGCCTCGAGGGTTCGTGACAGGCATCGGGCGAGGAGGGAGCCTGCGACGGGCCCGATAGCCTCGACTTCAGACATTCGGCAGAGAGAGCACGGGGTGGTTAGGGCCTTTAGGGATTAGTTGAGGGTTTAAGGATTCTCGGGGTTGGGGTTTGGGATTTAGGGTTTGGGAGTCTATGCAAGCAGTCTGCAGACAATCCTTCGGCTTTGAGAGTCTTTGGGTGTTCAATGATGGCAGAGAGCACCAGTCTCGTACCGCGAAGAATTCGGCAACAAGAAGGTGTGCGAGAGTTGCTTACGATCAGGGAATATTCGTGTGTCGTGCGACTGCGATAGGGTTTTTGGGGTTTGGGTTTTAGGTGTTCTTGGCTTTGGGTTTAGGCGTGCTTGGTCTTCGACTTCAAGAATTCTTGGGTTTCGGGATTCTTTGACTTCGGGCCTGGGAAGTCTTGGGCTTAGGGATTCTAGGGTTTAGGGTTCGGGGCGTGCGGGGCAGGTCGCACGCTGTTAAGCGCGCTTAGTGCAGAGACACTCCCACCCATACAAAACTCACAGCAAGCCGCCAAAAGGCAGCCAACCCCCATAACCAGAGCCAAAGCCATCAAACAAGTATCATCTCCCAGGTGTGGATGTGTCAAGTAGTGAAGCAGGGACATCAAATCCAATGCTTCCCCTGTTGCCCGCAATCTCGGGTTAGACGTCTCAGGTCTAGGGCTCACCCTGGACCCGCAAGCCTCAAACTTTTAACCAAATCCCGAAGATGTGAACCCATAAACCCTAAAACCCTAAACCCCTAAATCCTAAACCCTAAAACCCAAACCCCCTACACCCTGAACCCCTAAAACCCTCGAAGCCTCGAAGAGTTTTGCATGTCAAGGCGCGTTCCACACCAGGCCATCCAGTCAGCTCCTGAGGAGTTCAATCTTGGGTTCAAAGGGGAAAAGGATGGACCCTTAATGTGGACCCCTATCCTATAATGGGCTATATAATGGGTATATAATGGCTATGTTAAGGGCATATACCTAGGGGTCCTTATTAAGGGTCCCTCCTTTTACCCTTAGATGGGTGGCGTCACTCACCGCGAGCCCTAAGCTGGGTCGAAAGCTCCAATAAAGGGGCTTGAACAACTTGAAAGGGGTTCGTGGGTATATTACTAAAAGTATACTAACTCCAACTAAAGGTAAATAATAAGGAACCCTCGGGGATAGCATTGCTCGCTATGTCGTAAAGCAGGCAGAAGGACCTCTAATGCAAGATACTCTTAGCACCCAAACCCCTGAAGCCTATGTAGACCCTTCTATTATGGCCCTAGGCACTACACCTCTAATTCTCAGCTTCGAGACCAGACGTGCATGCAAACTGGGTCTTTCTTGAGTTGGCTGGGACGTAGCGCAAGTTGCAATAGTCAGAAATCAGGTTTGATTGTACATCCTCATGAGGCTACCTGAATGACCTCTGTGAAATACAAAACCCATATGCGAGTTTCCGAAAATAGGGGACCCTAATATAGTACCCTACATAGTAGGATCCTTATTATAAGGACCCCAAAATAAGGTTCCCCTAATTTTCGGAAACTACCATATACAACGCACGAAACTCTGCGAAACCCTGTCGACCGGGACTAAAGCCCACCTTAAAGTAAGCTCGTGAACTAAATAGGGTACCTTCGGGTTCCTTTAAAGGGGTACTATAGGGGTACTATGAGGGTTCTATAAAGGGTTTAGGGTTTGGGAGTTTCCGAAAATGAGGGGCATCCTATTTTGAACTAAAGCCCAGCTGAAGGGAAAGGTTGCCCAACCTGGCTGATGTACGCCATGGGCCGCCAACGGTAAATCCAGTAACCTGCTGTTGCGTGTTTGCAGTTTTCCTTTGCTTTTTGGTAGTCTGCTATCTTACGGCTTGGTAGGGGTTGGGATTTAAGGTTTAGGAAGTTTACGCTCTCACAACTCGGACACAGCCAGGCGAGGTTCAAGTTTAGGGTTCAGAGTATTCAGGATTGTGGCTTTGGGGCTCCAGGGCTTCAGGTTTCCAGGTGTCGGGTTCATGGGAGAGTAGCTTCGTTGCACGACGAACGAACTTTGGGTAGTTGTCAAAAATAGGGGTCCCTCTTTAGGTACCCTAAATATTAGGTGCCGTAGTATAAGAAGGACCCAAAAAGAGACCCCAATTTTGACAACCACCCATTTCTGTGCGCTTCCTCCAACTGCTGTCCACTCCTGTCTGCCATTGCGCAGCCATGTTGCATGCCTTGTTGTTTTGTACCCCGCCCCACTTTATCTACTCCGCTCCTGCCTGCCACTCCCAAACGGAATATCACGCTCTTCCCGTCCCGCTTCTTTCTACAAAACCTTCTCATCTTTTCGCACTCCCTCTCTCTCTCTCTCTCTTTCGCTCCTTCTCGCTCCGTCCCGCTCCAAGGTGCCCACACACTACCCCTAGGCCCTAAACACTGCCTTTGGCATCCACCACAACCGCAAAGACGTAGGGCTCGTCCCACAGGTTCTCGAAGCGCTGAGAGCCCTGCCTAAAGTTGAGGGCCGGATTGTGGCAGAAGTGGTACTAGTGGTGGTTGGTGGTAATCGTGGGCAGAAATGGTTCTAGCGGCGGTAGTGGTGGTACGAGTAGGAGTAGAAGAAGTAATTGCAGTTGCTCTTATGGCAGTAGTACCTGCAATTATCCATCTACCGACCCTAAACCCGTGTCACAACCCTAAACCGTAAACCATACGGCATGTTGTGCATCCGTTCTGCAAGGCTCCGGGATGTGAGTGACACGGGGTGCGTGGGCCGCAGTTCGGGCCCCGAAACCCTGAAAACTTCAGCCGGGAAGCCCCAAACCCGACACGGTTTAGGGTTTAGGGTAATGTAGGAGCCTTAGTCACTAGAATAGAGTTTGGGGGGGCCGTTATACTATAATTATAACAAGGGACCTCCCAAATAGTATTGGCAGTTATTTAAGCCCTACCCAGGGACCCCAATGTAGTTCCTTTTTTAGGTAGTATATTAAAGTCCCTAACCAAAAAAGAGGACCCTAAACCCTAAACCCTAAACCTTAAACCCCAAAAAGGAACTACTTTGGGGCCCCCGGGTAGTTTATGAAGTCAGCTTTGGAGAGCCCTCCATCCTGAACCTTACTTAGAGGATCATGGGACTTAGTAAGTGTTCTTAAAGGGCTCCTGCAAGGGATCTATAGGGTTCCTTAAAGGGGTCTATAGGGTTTAGGGAGTATTTAGAGGATCATGGGACTTAGTAAGTAGGTTATAATTGGGGTTATAAGTCCCCCAAGTGGGGTTATCCTAATTATAACCTACTTATAACCTTACTTACTAAGTCCCATGAGCCTTCAAGTATAGTAAACCCCACAAAGTTGGAAACCGGATGGAGGCCAAATAGTGCTGGGATTCCCTATACATTACTCTTAAGGATTGAGGCTATTGGGTGTCCAACTTTGAGGCTTCTACTGTAAACCCTAAATAACCCTAAACCCTTTATAGAACCCTTATGGATCCCTTTAAGGAACCCTTAAAGGATACCATACTTCTATGCAAAAAAGCCGTAAGATGCTGAAGTGGCACGCTCCGCCACCCCATTGGATGCTTTCCTCGAGGGGCCCGAAAGGGTGCAGTTCGTGGGCTCTTGCAAAGACAGGGCTGCCGTTTTGTATCTGCTAGTAGAGGGTTTAGGATTTAGGATGTTTTAGATTTAGTTTTAGGGTTCAAGGTTTAGGGTTTAGGGGTTTGGGGTTTAGGCTTAAAGCTCCTATCTTCACAATAGCTAGTTCTTTCTGACAAGGATCCTCTAAAATTAGCCATACATGGGATGACTTGGATTTCCGACAACACCGCGACAACCAATCCTGCAGGCCCCAAAACCCTGAACCGGTTTAGGGTTTAGGGTTTAGGGTTTAGGGACCCTAAAACTCAAGCCTTTGCGGCAAAACCCCACATCCCAGTCCTGGAAATCCGTTTCAAGGCCCTACATTAAGGCCCAACCTTGGGCTGTCAGGTCTAGTTTATGAATTTTGATATATAGGGACTATAACGGGGCATACTTTCTACTTATATTACACCCTAAACTCTTAAAGCCCGGGTTCAAAAACACCGAACCCTAAACCCGAAATTCCCTTCAGAACATGGGATTGGATTGTGTGCCAGCGAGCACTCCACAACAGCTGGGCCTTCTCGTTTGCTGAACCAACCCGCCCTCAACTCTACCCCAAAAGTTGAAAACGAAACCTCATCCTCTTCCCAAAGCCCCCCTAAACAGTAACGCCTAAACCCAAAAGGAACTGCATAACAGCCCGCATGAGCACCTCCCACGGTCGGCAGCCGGTTTGGTTGGGCTGTGCCTGACAGCTGGCGCGGAAGTCCTGGAAAGCTGGGAGGTGGTTTCCCCTCCTACTTGGCAAGGACGAGGCCCGCATTGCAGGGCTGAGAGGGTGTAGGGGTTTTGGGTTTTTGGCGGTTACGGTTTCTGGCTTTTCGAAGGGTCTTTACTCTAGGAAATCACTGGGTTCTGTAAGGGCTTTGGACAGGGGCTTTGTAGGGTTTCACAACAGGCTTCTAGGGATTTTGCTCCGAGAAGTCATGTTGAAGCCGTTCGCGAACCGTTTTGGCGAGGCTCAACCGGGCACGAGCCTGAATCTTTAAACGACACCGACGTGTTCAAGCATGATGGTCGGGCTGCAGAGCCCCTAAAGTAAAAGCCAGAAAGTTGGAATATGATTATCCTCTTAAACCCTTTATGGTAAATTATAAGGTATCCTACCCTGAAACCATATTCCAACTTTCTGGAGTTCTCCTTACGCCTAAACCCTCAACCCTAAGCCCTGTCAAATTGAAACATGTGTTTTAACATTGCCTTCCTCGAATTCTGGATCTCCCTCTAGCTCCGCCAGAACAGGCAACCTTAAACACATTGAAGCTTATCACATTGCTTCACGTGGTCGAATCATGCCCTTCCGGGGGCAGTTTAGACAAATGCCTTGAGCTCCACACAGACCCAGAAAGCCCAACCTATACCCCTCGACTAGGGAATGTAGCATAAATAAATCATACGAAGCCCCTTATAGTTTAGGGCCTTGGCATATTCCTTAATTCAAAAATGTACCGAAGTTGCCTGGCAGACGGGTCGCTGCAACCATGTTGAAGCTTAATCGCGGTTGACACACAGTTGTGTTCAAGCATTCTGTGGCAAAGCGTCAAAGCCTCAACCCCAAAGCCCTGAACACCTAAACCCCCAGGCCCTGAACCCCTAAACCCTAACCCCCTAAGCCCACCTCTATACCAGACGTGCATAAATGTGTTTGTTGTTCTTCCGCAGGCAGGTCCTTAGTCGCCTCCCAGCTTTAGCGGTATGCGAGAGAGAAGAATGTTGTGCAATTCCCCAGAGAGCCCAGTGCCCCTTAATGAAGGAACAGACCAAGGGGCTGCATATTATGAGTTAGAGCAACTGAAATTTTGACCAAGAGTATGCCACCCAGGCATGGGCTGCTCAGGCATGCATGTCGAGACATGAACTTCCTGCTTTTCCTCAAGATTCCTGGGAGTTCCTTGCTGGAGTTATAGTTATCATATGATGGACCGAAAACCCCTCAAAGCCCATGCTGTCGGATTCGAACCTCTGGAAACTTGAACTCCGTGCCCATGCCATTTGCCTTGCACGCGGATGCAGGTTAGTGGCTAGTTGCTCAAGCCCGTTGTGTCACAGAGATCTGCCCCACAAGTCCCCAACTTCACAGTGACACCAACTCTGCGTGGCAGAGAGCTGCGATGACTTCTTGCGAAGGCTTCCGGGAGTCTGTGAACACTGCACAAAGATTTCCGATCAACTCCCAAGCCCCCCACCCAAACCGTGAAACGAGAACTCTTCTGCTGAGCATTCGGGAAATAACCTCTGAAGTGTCCTTAACCCTCTCTCTCTCTCCCCCTAAGCTACATCCGAAACCCTCAACCGAGAACTGGAAGCCTTCGGAATGTTGAATATTGCACCGTCTTGCATGGGGAACCCACCCAACTTCAAGTACTCTCAGGAGGCACTGGCAGACACTGCAAAATAATCGGACAGACCCGGAATTGAGCAAACCCCACGAACTGGAGAACCTCCCTGAACCCCAAAACCTCAAACCCGCCACGGCCTCAAAGCCGTACAGCCCTCAAACCTCAAAACCTATACAACCATGAAGCACGAAAGCCACAAGCGCCCCAAAGGTTGGCCTGCGCCGAAGTGTAGGAGATGGGCATGCATCCCGATGCTTGGGCATTCCTCGGTTGAGGTCTATAGTGTTTGAGGTTTAGGGTGTACGGGGTTTACGGATTTAGGGTTCCAGGTTTAGGATCTATGGGTGGCTGTTAAAATTCGGGTACCTTTTTGTGTCCTTCTTATAATACGGCACCTAATATTTAGGGTACCCAAAAAAGGGGCCACAATTTTGACATGGGGTTTGGGTGTTTGTATCTCAAGCTTCGAGGCCCCAGGTGCAGGGACTTAAAGCTTCTTTCTTGGGCCTCCCAGAGCCTCCAAAACTCTTTAACTAAGGACTATACTTTAAATTGTAATAGGATCCCTTATATGATTTAAGGTATATTCCTTAATTAAAGGGTTTTGGGAGGCTCTGGGCTGCCCTTGGGTTGTGAGTTTTGCAACCCTGAGCCCGAAACTTCAGAGCTTATAAGGGTCGTTGTCAAAATTAGGGTCCCTTTTTGGGAACTCTAAAGATTAGGTGCCGTACTATATTAGGGAGCCCGAAAAGGGACCATAATTTTGACAACCGCCCAAAAAGGCTCAGGCCAGCTATGGTCATCGTTTACACCCTGAGCGCCTTGAGAAGGCCATTTGGGTAGTTGTCAAAATCAGGGTCCCTTTTCGGGTCCTTATTACGATACGGCACCTCGTATTTAGGGTACCCAGAAAAGGGCCATAGTTTTGACAACCACCCATTTGCTGCTCGATGTTCAAACCCTGAAACCCGGTTGCATCCAGGCCTACTGCGACGTCCGGGTACCCCTGAAGAAAAGTAAGAAACTGAGGGCCAGGCAATTCTGCAGCACTACTGAACTGGCTGCAACACTCACCCAAACCCTGAAACCCTGAAATCCTGAAGTCCTAAAATCCTAAAATCCTTAACCCTTCGGGCTACTACGCTTGAGGACTAGCCTCAAGGAGTAATCCTAGGGCAATGGTTTGAACTCAGAGTCTGAAACGCAACATCTGCAGAGGCGGTTTTTTTGTCTGGGCCAAGAACTTCTGCCTTTTTTTCCTGCTCCCCTGAAGCCCACAACTTTAGAGTCTAAAACCTACTGCCTAAGCCCCTAAACCCCTAAACCCCTAAACCCTAAACCCTAAAGCCTAAACCCTAAACCCTAAAGCCTAAACCCTAAGCCCGAAGCCCTGAGACCTGGAAGGCTGGAGATCTTCACTTCGAGGCGTCTCACGACTGGGAAGATCCCCTCACCACAAACCAACTAGGATGCCCAGTGCTGTGCTGAACTTAGAACCCTAGCAAAAATAAGTACCCCTAAGAGCAACCTAGGAATAAAAAGGGATCTCTTGTTGGTACTGGGTAACTTCATAGGGAACCTAGGACTACAAAAAGGGAATAAGGGTACTACTGGGCATCCTAGCCAAGATCGGGCAGTGCCAGACAACTGGCGCAGCCGGGTTTGGGGTTTAGGGCTTCCCCACGATCGACAGGAACTCCCAACTTAATATGATTTCCCTGTACTGTTCCAGAAGAAGGTGGCTTTCCGGTGGATATAAGATACACGGTACCGCTGATGCGCCGACCCCACCCCATACCAAAAGCCCTTTCAACACTGGGCTCTCACGAGTGACAGCAGCAAAAACACAGACTGCCATCAAGCGGAGACGGACTCGTGCCGAACCCTAAACCGATAGCCCGAACTCAACCTCTGATCGTTAACTCCTAAGCCCTAAGCCCCTAAACCCTAAACCCCAAACCCTAAACCCCTTAACCCTAAACCCCTTAACCCTAAACCCTAAACCCTAACCACTAAACCCTAAACCCCAGTAAACCCTAGACCCTTATTTGTTCCCAGGCTCTCCGTGCTGTAGAGCATGTTCAAGTTCCCGGGCAAGGGGGCTCCCGGATCCCACCCGGCGCTGCCCTGTTCGTCATTTGGATGCTTTCGGGTTTAGGGCGCAGGATTCAGGTTTAGGGCATATAGGGTTTAGGGATAACTTGTGGTTGAATGCTTAAGCCTCAAGACTCACGGTAGTGGACATGACTACTGCGCATAGCTGCGTATGTAACATGACCCCGCATTTCTGACACGCCAAAACCATCCCAAACCCCGAATAGAAACGTAAAATTGAGACCGATAAAGAGCAAGCCTCGACCGGGTCCAACTCCCACATCCAACAGTTGGTGCCCGTCGGATTTCCTGCGAAGCTCTCGTTTCGGTTCTGCTGTGTTTTAGCTCAGGTTACCGTAAACCCCAAACCCTCTCAACTCTTATGAATGCGTGGGCTCCTTCGAGGGATCTCTTACTTGGAAGGGCAGGGGACTTAGTAAGTAGGTTATAAGTAGAGTTATAAGTACCCTAAATGGAGTTACCCCAATTAGAACCCTACTTATAACCTACTTACTAAGTCCCCTGCCCTTCCAAGTAAGGGATTTTTCGAGGCTCCGAGGAAAAGCTGCCGTGAACAACTCACCCGCTAATCCAACAAACCGCCATCACAAGTGTCACCACCATCATCCACCATCTGAGAGTTTCCAAAAATTAAGGGTACCTTATTTTGGGGTCCTTATAATAAGGATCCCCTATTCTCGGAAACCACCATCTGTGCCTCAGCAAGAATGCCAATGGAATCCTACTGAAGTGCTGGGAGTCGACATACGCACACAGGATATCCTGATCTCAACAAACGCCGAGCTCGAAAGACGCCCCGAAGCCCGAGCCCCACTCTCTGTCCTTGGCCTTCGAGGTTAATTCCCAACTGGGACAGCATGTAAAAGGCGCCGTAGTAAAAGTTTTCAGCGCTGAGGATCCACATGCCTGCCGGTGGGGTCACGCCGCCTGAGAGAGGAGGCTGTGTTGGAGGTTTACAGTTCTACGTGGCCTTTATAGTAGAAGCCAGATAGTTGGAACATGGCTTTCGGAGGATTAGTGCTAGGATCCCTTATACTTTACCTTAAAGGTATGAGGACAGTTATGCTCCAACTTTCTGGCTTCCACTATTGGGTTTTCAGGTTTGGGAATTCTCAAACTTATGTGGTCTTAGGATTTTAGGCTGTGGTGTTTGCTACTACTCGATTTGTGCGTGTGCCATCCTTGGCCATCTTGCGCCACAGTCATGCCAAATTTCTTTGCACCAACGCAACTTTTTTGCAGGAGGATTGCCTTGGACATTCAAGCACAAGGTTTAACATGTTGGCGTTTGAGTAACGTACGATTCTCCTGTGATTGGACTAAAGATGACTATAGATTCTTCTTCCTCGAGGTTTCGTGGCCAGGAGGCTCCATATTAGCAAGGAAGTGCATCATGCACGCCGAGTGTGTCTGCGTGTGTGTTGGGTCACTGTCTCAAGGCAACGGCAACAACTATCCACGCAGCCAGATTGCGCGGGCCATCAATTCCCAGAATCCGTGCCCATGGCGCATACCTCGAGAAGGAAGTAAACGCATGAATAGCTGCAAAATAACACAGGTGCTACGTGTTTTGAATGAGCCTGACGTGGTCTTCAAAAGGAATATGGTGCGTCGTGATGGCGGAATCATCTGATCTAATTCATGGCATGGTGCAGCTTTCTCCGAATCGGGAAGTTCCATAGCGCCTACTGGGAGATTCATGGGTAGTCATAGGTGGACTTATAAGCCCCCTAATCAAAAGAGTTACCTTATTTATAACCCTTGATAGACCTACCCATGAACCTCCAAGTACAGAGATCTGCTTGCGATGCTAGGGGCTTCGTTGTCCAGTCGCCGGCACTCCATCGAAACGATGCGTTGTGAGCCTTGGGGGGTTATAAGGTTGAATTACTGGTACACGCCAATACGACTGCCCAACTAGTCCATTGTAGCGAATGTTGCCTGCTGTCCAAGCTCGACAATTAGTGACGAGAGTGCGACCAAGCTGCCACAAAACCAGAACCATTCCAGAAATTGCCATGCACACCTGCCAGAAAACGCTGCTTGTGTCAAGCATACAGCATATTCTGAACGGATTGCTTTGCGCATGGTTTTACGAGCCTTGTTCATCAATTTCGCCAACTGTGGATTCCGCCATGAGAACGAACTCCCTTGGTCTCGAGAGAAGCTGCTCTGGCCATGATGGTGACACGATGTTGCATTCACAAGTCGCAAGCAACAGCAAACGCTGCACACCTACAGCACCGATGCGGCAAAGTCTGAACCCTAACGGCCCTAACGCTTGGTTCAGCCGAACATACGGTACCTCGAACATTCGTCTCGGAGGCAGCAATGAAAGTAACTGTAATGCAGGCCGTGCATCTGACCGTTGTATTGGTATGCTGCCACATAGTTGATCTTCGGAGAGCCGTTGATCACGCAGTCGGGCAGATTGGCACAGAACTGACCTGTGCCCTGCGTCTCCTGCCAAAGCTTGCAAAATGATGACCCAGATTGTAGTTTTTCATCAACATCACACACGGCGCACCTCGCAAGTTCCGATTACCCAGTTAAAATGCGGGCGGATGCCGCAGCAAACGCCGCAGTGGGCCCACATCTGTGGATTCCCGTACCTGCAGCCTAGGTCCGTTGTGTCAGTGGCACCTGCAGCAAGGCGGAATCACATCCATCATGCGCAAGCTTGAGCGCTTCTATAGACATATGCAGCGATGTCACGCACCTTTGCCCCGGCCGGCCTGGAATGTTGGATTGCACGGGCGGGGCATAACGCCCCTGAGCAGTTGCATTCTCCAAACACGGAGCAGGCATTTCCAACCTCGACATTGCAACTGTCAGTCCATTCGTCAATTCAAGCATTTGTGTCGAACCGACAAGTTATTGGAAGGTTTAACATCACGTCGCCATTGCAACATACGGGCTGCTGAACGTACATCAAACGCATTGCTATACACAACACTCGCCGACCCGTGGAAGTTAGAGGAACCGATTAGCATTTTCCAAGTCTTAGTTTCAATCAAATTGGGAAGCTAAACGCGTGCCTGCATGCAACTCACGATTTGACGTATCAAAATAAGCCGCGGAGCTCGCGAAGGGCTGCTTGCAGTTCACCTGACATGTCCCATGTATTCCTATGCCAACAAAATTCGCTTCTGCGTGATCGAACGGTTGCCGCACGATTTAGCACTGCTCCCGCTCTTCCAGCCCTCCAGCTCCAGCACTCCAGCCCTCCGGCCCTCCAACCCCGCTGCCCTCCAGCCCTCAGTGCTCCACCCTCCAGCCTTCCAGCCCCTCCAGCCCCTGCCCTCCAGCTGCCCAAGCTGACGGTGCATGTGCATCTTGGCGAAAAAACGCACATGACCACAGTTAACTCTGTGTTGCCTCCTCTATTCCTCCTCTTGCTCTGCTGCTTCTGCCTCCTCTACTGCTTCTGCCGTTGTGTGCCACTGCCTCTCCGCTGCTGCCTTTTCCACTATGGAAGGCTGGGGGGTGGGACAAGTCGACCAACCTTCAGTGAACAAGCATCGCAGGCTTGACGAAACCTCATGATGCGGCTGGTGACGGACCCGTGGCGCATGTGGCCACCAATTCAAAGGGTGGCGGGCGCGGACGACAAGGGAACGGGCTGTTGCCTTGCCGAAAAGCCGGCGCACGTGTTGCCCGTGATGTCAGCTTGGCAAACATGAACATCGATATGCAGGTTGCCGGCGACCTCCGCATCGAAGTCGTCGCGAACGGACTGGCGCTGTGGTAGGGCTTGGGGCAAGCCGTGGATGCCACCAGCGTCAGCCCCGGCTGGTTCAGCCGGGTGCGGACGTGCACCTTGGCCGAGCATGGCCGAACCATCGACGCAGCCGCGCGACACAAGCGCCATCAGACTTACCCTGAACTGGTGCGCGCCCGTCGCTGCCGCTTGGTTGTTGTTGGATGTTTTTGGTGTCGAAGTCGGCGGCCCATTTGGCGCTGGAGCAGCCACCTGGTTCCGCTTGCTCGCTGGGCATCGGGTCTTAGAACTGCGCAGTGGCATTGCGAGCGGCTGTGCGCGCAGCTTGGGTGCCTCGCTGGCCTCGCCTGCTGGCAGTCGCGGCGCAACGCGCCATCGCCGTGTTACAATTGAAGGGGAATGCAAGCTCGCCGGGGACGCGCCTGAGCTGCATGAGATCCCAGCCGATGTGCGTTGGCAGATCCCTGTCCTTGGCAGCCGCCGAGGACCCCGATGAGGCCCTGGCATAACCGCCTCCGTATGACACACGGTAAGTGGACGCTTCTTGTGCGGCCGCAAAGGGGCGCGAGGTTAAAAAAAAACAAGGAGGTCCAGTCAGCGGGTCCGACTTGAGCCGAAAGCCCATTACACTCTACACCCACGGCTGGGGTCGCAGCGGCAAGCGGCTCGGCCTTTCCGGCCTTTGCAAAGTTATCGAGCGGTAGGATGGCACTGCGACAAACACACGCTCGTTCGATTACGCCGAGCGAAAAGGCCAGTGCGCAGCCGTGTGTCGGTCCGCAGCTGTGTGGCAGGTGGCGGATCGCTGGCCGCTAGCCAGGGGCGCGAGCATCGCTGGTTCGGCTGTTATGGCGGGAGGCCACGACCCCGCGTCAGGCCACGATGGGAACCGTACATGACCGTACCAACGCTATCCAGCACCTAGGCATTCGGCATCATAGTGGGCAACATCATACGAACGCGGAAATGTTGGTTGCGAGTGCATTCAAATGCCAACCACGTGTCCAGTCTCTGGGGCCGGTGTGGCTCCGGGATCTCGCGCCAGCGTGGGCAGGCTTCCCAACCTTCTGCTTGTAGGGGCTCGCAGGCCTGAGCAGCAGCGCGCGGGCAGGAGGCCTCGTCACCGCAGTGCTCCAGTACATCCTGATAACACTCGACAAACTTGTTTTCGGACGTTTACATACTTTTGCGCTTGCACGCCGTCCATCCGAAGTTTATTTACCTAGCTACACTCTACGCGCGCCGACCGCGGCTAGCCAGCGCAGCGGCAAACGGCTCGGCCCTGCCGCTTCGGCAATGTCGAGCACGCGGTCCAGCTCTGGGCCCGGCCGTTGGCTCGCATGCGGTGGCGCGGGCCACGCACGGCCAAGGAAGGAGAGTCTGACAGAGGAAGGAGCGGCTGACAGAGGAAGGAGGGTCTGACAGAGGAAGGGGAGTGTCATAGCGGAAGGAAAGTCTGACCAAGGAAGGAGAATCCGACAGAGGAAGGAAAATCAACAAAGGCCGTGCTGGTCGCGGCCTGCTGCACCGCTACAGCCCAAGCTGCCCACCACCGTCTCGTCCAGGCGGAAGTGGCTGCGGCTCGTAGCGCCGGTGGGGCTCATTGGGACGTCCGCGCGCCAAGTCTCGAACGAGCCGCTGTGCCGCATCGTTCCAACGCAACTTCTGAGCCAAGCAGAAAAAGCCGCTGCGGACTGCTGGCACTGAACTGAGGGTAGGCGGCTCGCCTGCGCCACACAGCAACCCGCAGCATCCCGCAGCATGGCGCCGTCGTATGCTGCAGTGATGGGTTGCGGGCCAAAGGCGACACAGGGGTCGCATCGCAGCACAGCGCCCCCGCTTTAAATCACCAAGTCCAGGCGGCGCCGGTCGTCCGGAACGACGCCAGGAGCAGTCGTGTTGCAAAGCTATTTCTGCAAGACTACGTGGCCGTCAGTTCCAACTCACGCGCGACCTCACCCACGCCCTGCCCACGCCCGTTCGACAACTTTGGCAATTTTTTGGCACTCGCTCTCGGCAAGGGGCTCCAAGCAATTTTCGCCTGTCGCATAGAGCCAATAACGACCAGACCATTTATCAACATATCCACCTATAATCTTCTCAAAAGTACCGCTCCCTTCAGCCATACATTAGCCCGCCTGGCCAACAGTCCTCTTCGATAGGGAGGGGTGGGGAGGGGGGGCTGTTGTTCGTAGATTTAGGACAACCCCCCCCCCAAAGTCGTTGTTCTTCTTAGAAAAGCGGGGTACGCGGGGAACAAGAGAGGGGTTTGTTGTTCTCTCAAGAACGCGGGGAACAACAGGGGGGGGTTGGTGGTTCTCTCAAGAGGGAGGAACAACAGGGGGGGGTTGTTGTTCTCTCAAGACTGCGGGGAACAATAAAGGAAGGGCGGGTGTTGTTGTTCTCTCAAAACGGGAGGGGGGGTGTTGTTCTCTGAAGAAGGCGGGAACAACAATAAAGGGGTAGGGGGCTGTTGTTCTCCAGGGTTGTTGTTCTCCAAAGAACAACAACCCCCCTCTCTGTCGAAGGGGTATGAAGGCGAGCCAAGGCATGGTCGCCGAACACATCGACGAGCCCGCCACAACCGGCTTGCGTGAGGGGGCTGCGTAAGGCGAGCTGCATTGCTTGCGGGGGCAGTGTGGTGGCTGGCTCCGCCGGTATGGCTGTCAGCCGAGCAACCGCGTGGTGGTGGCACTAGTAATAGTAGTCGTCGTTGTGGTGGTGGTGGTGGTGGGTAGTAGGAATAGCTAGTGCTGTTTCTGGTACCCCGTAGCACTACAGCCTTTGGTAAGTATACAGCAAGCAGTACCAGAACGAGTAATTGATACAAGACCAAGTAGTATTTTTTCTACTACAGCCACCTTGTAACCAGAAGTCAAAGCGGTCCCGGTGCACAAGGCTGCAGAGTACGGCGGGCCAAGGGGAACCCTACGCACAGGCTTAGGCGAGCCGAGCCGGCAAGCGACTGGGCTTTGGCGCTACGAGCCAGCGTGCGTCGGCCAAAACCTCATGCAGAGCAGGCGGTTCGCCAGCAGCTCAGGTTCAGAGTCAGCAAGGAGCTCGAGAAAGGATGCAGCGACGGCGCAGTACGAACGGTAGTTGTACGTGATGTGTTATACTGGTCGTTGAAGCAATTGTTGTCGTAATCGTCGTAGTCTTTTTTTTGGGGGAATGGTCGTGCGTGGCATGGGCCTGTGGTGGCATGGTCCTGTGTCTCAAGGCTCAAGTTGGCGAGCTTTGGTTGTAGCCTCGCGTGACGGTGCGTTTTTTCTTCACACACCTCTTTTACGTCCGTCCACTCCGCGGTCCCAGTGCACATGCCCAAAGCCCAGGCAACAGACCACGGCATGCGGCTGCCAAGGGGGGGCTGCTCGGAAGAGTCAGCCAGGACGTCGCTGAGGAGCAGCATGTCTCCATCAACGTTGGCGGTGCCGGACAAGGGAAGGGAATGGCTGGCAGCAAAGGTCCGCGCGGCCGCAAAAGCCAGGAGCGCAGACCAGCGCAACGCAAACGCGGCAGTGCACGCCGCCCGCTGTGCAGGAGGAGCGACACGGGCCTTGCTGCGGGCAAGGAGTCTGACAAACTCAGCGGCTGGGGGACTCCAGCGTCCGACAGCGGCGCCCGGAAGCAAGCTCTGGGTATGTCCGGGCTTTGACACGACACGCAAAGCTGCCCCAGCCGTGCAGCCTCTGTCTCGGCGTGGCATGCCAGCTGCAGTGAGGGCCGACATCAATGTGGTGTCAACGGCAAGCTGTACACCGACTCACAAAGGCAGACCGTTCGCGATGACTTCGATGCGTCTCTCGTCCTGGCATGTCCTGGCGGACAGGGACCACTTTCAGATCACGCGCCAGGGCATGCATCGCGACAGTGGCGCCCGCCTCCCGGCAAACTCTGACGCGGCACGCTGCCTGCCAGCCACGAGTGTTGTCAAGCTGTGGCTCGTCTTCCTGGCATGGTCGTCCTGGTGGAAGCAGCCGGGCACAGTGCCGACAACACGCGCCGCAGCTGTGTGCCCTACAACTGCCGGGTCTGCTTCAGCACAAACCCGCCCAGCTACGAAGGTGCAGCAGGCGCAACAACGGATGCGTTCCGACGCCTGGTCGATGCCTCCGCCAGGCACGTTCGCACCGCCTTGGCACGACGCCCGGACGCAGTCCCGGTCTCGCTTGACGGACCCCTGCATGTCCAGGGGGAGGGTTGGTATAGCTTTCGCAACGACTTTTACATCACTACGACGCCAGGCGACCAATGCCCTGAACCGCGAGGTGTCCTGGTGCTTGGCAGCTTTGGGGGTCTGGGACTGCAAGCGGGGGAACGCAAAAGCCCCGCGGCATACTGCGCAGACATGACTGCTGCTGTGCCGGCTATGGGCGCCAGAGCTTCGTCTGGCGAGGCGGATGGCGCACGGAATCTGGCGACTCTCCTGGCGTCGCTTGGCGGTCCATAGGCCTAACTTGGCCTAACCAGCGCCGGGCAGCGTTCGCTGCGTTTTGGCCGGCATGGGCTGATGCAATTCCTGTCCCTGGCGAGTGCGCCCTATCTCTAGCCGAGGTATGTGTCCGCCAACTGGAAGCAAGGGAAACGAATGGAAACGAATGCGATTGCGACGTGCCTTCGCAGCGCGGCGATGGCACGCGAGGCCTTTCGTGCTGAAGGCTGGCAGGAGTGTCCATCCTGGCGAGCAATCGCGGATGGCGCCCGCCGGCCACCGGTAACTGACAGAGGCTTGGGAGATTGGCCGCATGGCTGGCAGCACAATGCGTCGCGAACTCGCAACCCTCATTTCCGCGAGCGCACGTGGCTGCCAGCCTTGCCGCCAAGCGCTTGCGTGCTCTTGCGTTCCCAAGGCGGGCCGCTACTACAATTACTACGACGACGAACTACTACAGTTACTGTTGCACCACTACGTCTTGTGCTGTTGCTATTGCTGCATCTAATGTAAGTACTACGACCACTACAACTGCTACAAACACGGCTGCGACCACGCAAACACGACGGCTACGGCTACGGCTGCACGACGTCACGCCAACCACGGCCAACATGATTGCGACGACGACTATCACAACACCCCCACTGTTACGGCGACAACGGCTCTCGTGACTACAACGAACACGACGCTCACTCGCGTGCGTGGTCCGCCACTGCTGGGGTGAGTGTGTAGGCTGAGTCTTTGGAGAAGACAGAGAAGCCGCCTGTGCATCTGCGGCTGGTTCCGTGACGAACATGACGCCAACCTGCTCAGAGGTGCGATCACCTGCAACCCCGCCGGCGCTCCATGAGGGCGAGAGACGCCAGATAGAGCTCGGGGCCGGCGTGTCCCTGGAAGTGGAGGGTTCGAGGCGGAGATCCCGCTCGGAAACATAGGGAGCGCCGGCAGATCTCCCACCTGAAAAAGACAGACGGACGCCGCATCATTATCCGACTGTATGAGATGCCTGCCGGGCATCAACAGTTTGTGCAGGTGTGCCGGCATGTGCAGGTGAGCATGGCCCCCTGCGCTAGGAAGACACGGCATGTGCAGGTGAGCATGGGCCCCTGCGCAAGGAAGACACGCCACGTGATCGTGGCTCAAGGTTCGTGTGAAAGATGAATGATGAGGGTTTGGGGAGTTTTGGGTGTGTGGAGTTGTGAGCCTGGGGGCCCCAATTCCTATGTCGTCTTACGATCCTCTAGATGATATGCCTCACTCTGTTCGTGTAAACCTTAGCAGTCCGAGGCCACCTTCTCATTATAGTATCGTGACGGCCACTCCTTCTCCAACCTGGACTCATGATCAACAGGTCATGAGCCCAAGTGCTCCACTTGGGCAGGACTCCGCACTTAGTGCAAATCAGCATCTGCAGCAGCAGCAACATCAGCATGCATTATCAGCGACTGCATCGGCAGCGGACCTTCGAGCGGATGGGTCAGTGGTGTTTAAGAGCCTTTCGCAGGTAATTATTCCCCCTGATCTGATATCGCGACTTGAAGCGTTGCAGCGGTTGGAGTTGGGACAATTGGCGGATCTTGATCACGTTCGTCAGAGCATGCAGGGGATGGCCGATGAGCTGTTCCGAAGATCAGAGTTGCTTGGACAGTGTGTGTTAAAGGCTGCAGAGGGAAGCAGAGAGAATCGAGAGCAGATTGCACAGCTGCAAGCGTCAGTTGGCGAGTTGCAGTCGCAAGGTGTACACCAAGGGCAAAAGCTGGTTTCGTTATCCACCGAGCATGATAGGACGATGAGCCTTCTTGCGGAGTTCGAATCCAGTATGAAAGATACATGGGGCAAAGCAGTGCAGCGATTGTCAACGCTAGAGGGAAGCTTTGAAAACGTTCTGGCGGCCCAAGCTGCAATGCGCGAAGACTGCGAAGGGTGGTTGGATAAGTCTGCTGAGGAACAGAAGCAGTACCTGGTTGTCATGTTGGAACGACAGGCGGCAACTTTGGAAGCTTTGAGTAGGAAGCAGATAGCCAGCGATGAGCAGATTGTGCAGCTGAAGCAGGGCCTGGATAAGGCACAGGCGGAGGCTGTGGCAGTCAACAACAAGTATGAGCAGAACGTGGAGCGAACCCGATGGGTGGTCACCAAGGTTGCTGAGCTCGAGGGTCTAGTGGCTAAGCTGCGACAGCGAGACATCAGCATTCAGAGAGAGATGGGTGTAGGTAAGGGGTTGACAGACTTGGCAAGCTCAAGCTCGCAACGGAATGCCGTAGGAAGTGCTGCTACTTTGTCGGGGCCCTTGTACTATGCCATGACACCAGATCTTCCCGCTGCGCAGGAGGATGATGAACATGATGATGGTGGTGACGGATGGTGGGGTGATGAACGGGAATGGGTAAGTAAGGATCTTGAAACTAGTGTTCCTCCGGGTTTGAGTTTTGGTCCTTGCACTCCGCCTCCTCCGTTGCCTCCAGACATGAAGAAGAGTGAGGGAATAGAGAGACAGACATTTCGGATCAATCAAGCCGCGTACAAGCTCATCAAGGACGCGCCTAAGCTGGATCTCTCGGCAGGCGGCGAGCCTTGGGAAGTGGGTATGACTGTACATCAGTGGCGAGTCGAAACGCGAACGGTTTTGGCAGCTATTCATCCCGGCTTTGCTGATTACTTCGATAGGATTTATGAAGAAGGGCGACAGCGCTACGAGAAGAAGAGACTCACTGGGTTCGAGGATTCTTTGCCTGATATTACGGTAGCAGAAGCTGAGATGGAGACTCGACTGTCTTTGGCATTGCTCAAGAATCTTCCGCAAACTGTTCGTCAGCCAGTGGTTGAGGGATCTACTTCGAAGAACGTGCGGTGCATCTTGATGTTTGAGAGTCTGCATGAGCGCTACGCCCCGGGGGGTCGTGAAGAGTTGGAGTCGATTCAGCGATACTTGCGACAACTGCCATCGGCACAGGACTTCAAGGGTGCGATGACAACGCTTCGAAGGTGGAAGCTCGCTCGCCATCGGGCCCAAAGTTTGGGTCTACCTGAGCAAGCTCCTAACGAAGGCATCGCGGCTTTGGATAGCTTGATGAAGGTTCTTGAGAAGAAGCATCAGCAGCTGGCTATGAAGATCAATCTTTTGAGGATGCAGCCGGACATCATCATTCCTGCAACTTCTGGGTTGGATCGGTATCTATCCTTACTTGAAGTGGAGTGCAGACGTCTTGCTTCAGAACAGGAGGTTAGAGATGCTAGAGCTGCTCAAAGTAGCGAGGTGGTCGTTGCTGCGGAGGCGGCGGCAAAAGGGAAAGGGCGATTGTGCTTTCATTTCGGGAAGCCAGGCGGTTGTTGGAGAGGTGCCGAGTGCCCCTTTGTCCATCAAGAGGCCTCCAAAGGTGGAAAAGGCAAGGGAAAGGAAAAAGGCAAGGACAAGGGTGCAAAAGGTAGCGGTAAGACAGCCGAGTCATCGAAAGATGAAAACAAGGACAAGAATCGCCCCCCTAAGCCTGAAGCCACCCCAAAGCCGAAGCCTGAAGCGAAGTCCAAGATGAAGCCTGAAGCGAAGCCGAAATCCGAAGCGAAGGCTGCTATGCTGGGTTGCTCGGGGTTGATGTTGATGTAGGTCCTAGGGCTTCGTCGGTTCGAGTGATTGCGAAAGCCGCGCGTGAGCTGGGACAGGATGGGACATCAGAACATGCTTCGGGCTCTGAGGGTGAGTCTAACCTCTCGGATGCTGGCCCAGTTGACTCTAGTGATTCGACAGGGCGTGCTATAGAGAGTGAGAGTGAGAGTGAAGGCCACGGTAGACCGCCGTTGTGGTACCTAGTTCTTCATGAAGTTGAGTATGCTTTGATGTCGAGTGGTGCGTCCCCACTGCTGACTCATGCTATTGCTCCATTTCAGCAGGTGAACGGACCCAACTTGATTGCTGTTGGCATTTGGGAAATCCTTGAAGAACTTGATTTCCAACTTCCGATTGAAGACATCCAGATAGGACAGGCTCAGTACATCATTGAAGCTCACCAAGTGCTGTGCATGTATCAAGACGGGATTATTAGGCCAGTAGTCTTGGTGCATGTGATTGATGATGAAACTGGTCGTGAGCAGATGCTCGCGCTGACGGAGAGTGGGGTTCCTCCTAGGGTCGAGCCGTGGACTCTTGAGGATGCGAGGAGGGGCATGCGGATTCAGCCGTTTTCTGCAGTAGAGGTAGTGAACCAAAGAGCCCATCAGATGCAAGCGAAAGCCCCTACTGTTGCTCGGCCCCCGGGGTACCCTTATGAGTCCCATGAGGTTCCAAAGGCATCAGCTCCCCATGAGGTTCCAAAGGCATCAGCTCCCCATCAGGTTCCAAAGGCATCGGCTCCCCATGAGGTCCCGAAGGCATCAGCCCCAAAGGCGAAAGCAAAAGCATCTAGTTCACCTCAAGGCCCCAAGGCTGCGACCCCAAAGGCCCCTAACAGAGCTAACCATGCCGAAGATGTCGGTGTTACGAGCGCTGTGGCTGCCCGTGTTGTCTTAGGACCACAGGTCTTGGTGGATTCAGGTGCCAATGAAGTTATAAGGCCACGGCCCGAGGGATATGATGTTCATCGATGCAAGAAAACGCAAGTGGCTTTGGCATCAGGGGACACAGTGCAGGCATGGAGGACACGAGATGGTGAGCTCATGATCGGTGATGTTGAGTTGGATCATGATGCTGATTGGATTCTGAGTGTCCGTAGGCTGAGGGGTATTCGGGGTGCTTTTGTGTGGGATGAGTTAGGTCCGAGGGTCAAGTATTGGAACGGTGAGAATCAAGTCACGGTGCATTGCATGGAGCAAAATGGGTTGCCATACATTTCATGGGAAGACTTTAAGCCCATTCGAGTGCTTTTGGCTAAAGATTGGAGAAAGCGTGGCAACATCAGTGTCATGCGTGCCGAGACCTCATCCCTGCATGTGACAGATTACGAGCCTACTGTTGAGATTCTTGGAAGTCGCTTTCAGGAGGAGTCAAAGATTGCACCAGCTGTTGCATTGGAGGATGCAGGCGAACAGAGGGCCAAGGAGTTGTGTGCCAAAGCTAAGATCACCTTTGATGAGGTTTGGGATGCGATTCAGCTGGCGAGTCTGGTTGAGAGGAACACTGATAGAGAGAGAGTCGTAGAAGAAGGAGGCAAGAAAGCACTTCCGATGTGGTCATTTGGTCTCTTCGTTCATGGCGGCGTGTTGGGAGTAACATCTGAAACTCGTCGGCATCCATGGTTGACGCGACTGTTGACGAAGTTGGTGCGACAACATCATCCGGATTTGGAGTTTTTGTCTGTCGGCGTAGGGATCAACTTGGCATTCCGTCCTCATCGTGATCGCAATTCCCTTGAAAGAGAATCCGTGCTCTTTGGAATCACTCGCTTCATCGGGGGCCAACTTTGGATTGAAGGGCTTCCGAATGAAAAGAGAAATACTGCTATCAGACGAGTCGACAGCAGTGACGAGCCAAAGGCGGGTCGGCTTCACGAGCTATCGCATAAGAGTGTAAGGTTCAATTCTGCTCTTCGGTTGCATGGGACTGAGCCTTTCAAGGGAACGAGAGCTACGGCAGTTGGCTACACACCGCGTGGCCACCTCAATGTGACAGCTGAGCTTATGAAGCAGCTCAGCACCCTTGGCTTTCATGACGAGAGGATGCAGAAGCTTGGAAGCAACAGCAACAGCAGCAGCGTAGCCAACATGACAACATGCGGCAGCAGCAGGCTAGAAGCACAGAACACAAGCATCATACCGGAACTCTCCCCCTCCTTAGGCGATCAGGTCTGTTCGGAAGGTGATGCCGTGCAGATTGAACCGAATGGTGAGCCAGGGTCACAGGACGTTTGGGATTCGGAGTTTCAGGGTTTAGGCACGAGTAGCGTGCAAAGCCCGGGTGATGATGGAGATGAGGGTTTGTCCGCGCCGGGGTTAATGGCTTTCGAAGCTGTCGCTGAAGAGGTCATTGATCTTACAGGGGATCCGCCGGCACGCCCGGGACATGCGTTGAAAGATTATGAAGCTCGCGGCCTGCGCCGCCCGCACCGGAAGGTAACTGCTGACCAGGTGTCCAGAGGGGTTCTGTCTATAGATTTAGCGGGTCCGTATGCTGCTGCCTATGATGGAACGAAGTACGCCTTGATAGCTGTGTTTCGCATTGATGAGAGCATGCAGTTGCATTTCGTGCGGCCTATGAAGAGGAGGCTGTGGAGTGAGCTGTTCAGTGCATTGCAGAGTGTCTTGGCGCAAGTGTCAGCTCTGTGCGGAGATCGACCTCAGGTGGTTCGAATACATTCTGATAAGGCTCGCGAGTTCCTGGCGCAACGGGTTGTAGAGGGGATCAATGCTTTAGGAGTGTTCCAAACCACCACGACGGGTTACGATCCTCAAGCAAACGGTCTTGCAGAGCGGACTGTTGGATTGTTGAAAGAGCGAGCGAGGGGATTTCTGATCCGGGGTGGCATCAACAAGAAGTTCTGGCCACTCATGATGGCAGAAGCTGCGAGGAGGCAGAGGGATGTGACCTTAAACCGTCCTCATCAAGGAAGGTTGCCTGAGCCAGGCGACTATGTTGCTGTGACTGTGCAAGGTGCGGGTCCCTTTGACCCCAGAGTGGAGCCAGGGCGTTTCATTGCTCAGTCGGACGTTGCAGTGCAGGGTGCTTTGGTGTTAGTCACGAGGGCAGGTCAGGAGCATTTGATCACCACGCGATTGCCAGCCGTGATTGATAAGAAGCCGGAGCAGTGGAGAACACATGTCACACCGTTGGGAGATTTGGTCTGGATCAGTTCTTCGGGCCAGGTTCGGGAGGGTGAGGTAGTCCGGGACCTTGGAGTGGATTTGGGAATGCTTACGGTGGAAGAGCGCGAACAAGGTGGTCATGTTGAGCAGGGTTTGCCTTTCGTGGCCCGCGCATCTGCCGGTAATCATCTTGAGGAGGAGCCACTTGCAATGGTACCTGAGGTCCGGAAGAAGGTGAAGAATGACGACAAGGCCGATCGCTATCAAATCCTGCCGTATGAGGTTGAGCAAGAGATGAACCGGGCAGAGGTCAAGGTTGCGCAGCTGGTTACGGACACGATTGATGCAAGAATCCTGTCTGACCCTAAAACACCGGCGGATGAGAAGCTGAAGTGGATAAATGAGGGTTTGAAACCTGAGTTGCAGACGCTTCAACAGAAGGAGATCTGTGATGAGTGGGATGAGGCGGACATACCATCGGGAGCGAAGGTGCTTCCGTCCAAGGTGGTACTGACCAAAAAACCTCTTGACAATGACGCGGAGGTGGACCCAGCCGAGCCTTTGAGTACTTGGAGGGCAAAGGCGCGGATAGTGGTGTGCGGCAATTATGAGCAGAATACGGTGGGTCACGATCCGGACAACGCGAGTGCCAACCCTGCTATCGAGCACATCCGGTGGAGCGCAACCTGCCTTGCAAGCAATCCGAGCTGGACTGGACTGGTTCTGGATGTTACGGCTGCCTTCCTGAACGCAAAGATGGACAATGACACAACCTTTGTCAGACCCCCAAAGGTGTTATCCAGAGAGGGTCTGATGGGACCTTCTAAGGTTTGGAGGCTTCGTAAGTTGTTGTACGGGCTACGCAAAGGACCGAAGCTTTGGGAAGTTTGTCGAAACGAGGAGCTGGACGGAAAGACGTTTGAGGATGCAGAGGGCACGACGTTCTTCCTCGATCCTGTTTCGTCCGGGGTGTGGGCCATCAGGAAGCAAGGAGAGCCACAGTCATTCTTCGGTGCATTCGACATGTACGTTGATGACGGGTTGATTGTGGGACCGGTGTCGTTATGCCAGGCATTAGCAGAGGTGCTGCTGAAGACGTGGCAGATGAAGATCCAAGGGTTCTTGCCGAGTGACGGGTTGAAGGTCGGTGGGAAGGTTCAGGTGGGTGACAAGCAGGTCCCGATTCGGCAGGAGTTGCAGTTCCTGGGGATGGTGATCAGACGCACTGAGGAGGGTGTGTCGCTACATCAGCATCCTTGGGTTGAGACTGAGCTGGAGCGGCGCGGTTGGGCGGCGGTTAAAGGTGCCGCTAATCTTCCGGAAGTGGTTGAAGGACAGACGGTGCCGGTGACCCGGGATGATGCGTACGGTGCGGACCTGCACCGTGCGCAGTCGGAGATTGGTTCACTTTTCTGGTTGGGGCTTCGCACTCGACCAGACTTGCTTGCTACAGTCGGGGCCTTATCTTGCATGAGCACTGTGGACCCGAGGAAGACGTACAAGCTTGCGACACAAGTCTGGAGGTACGTAGCTGGTACCAGGGATAAGGTGTTGTTCTTCAGAGCCGGGGGCAATCTTCAGGAGGAGAAGCTTTCGATCTTTGGAGATGCATCGTTAGCGCCCGGAGCATCGAGATCAAGGACCGGTGTGGTGGTGAAGCTTGGTGGCTATACCATCGCATATCGTACTCAGCGACAGTCTTTAACTGCTTATTCTGCCTTTGAGGCAGAAGTCGAAGCAGCGGCAACAGCGTATCAGCTAGGAACACAGGTGAGGCTGTTTGTGGACAAGTTCCTGAAGAAGGATGTGGAAACGGAGCTGTTCGGGGACAATTCTGCCTGTGTTAGCAACCTCACCAAGGGGTCGGAGTATGTACAGCCTACCCGTACACGCCATTTTGGTATGAGATGTTCGTACTTGAGAGACCACCTCAAGAATGATGGCATCCCTATGCTGCATATGAGTGGCGAGCTGATTCCGGCTGATGGGTTGACGAAGACTCTCTCGCGGGTCAAGCTGGAAAGCTCAAGAGGGAAGCTCAATGTTGTGTGAGAGTGCGCATCACTGGTCCCGGATACGGGTTGGTGTTGAGCTGTATTTATATACCATCCGAGGTCGAAGGAATAGTCCAACCTCAGGTGGATGCATGTTTTTGAGCACACCATATGAACGCCAAAGCCTCGACTCGTTAAGCGAAGTTTTGACGAGGAGGAGTGCAGGTGTGCCGGCATGTGCAGGTGAGCATGGCCCCCTGCGCAAGGAAGACACGGCATGTGCAGGTGAGCATGGGCCCCTGCGCAAGGAAGACACGCCACGTGATCGTGGCTCAAGGTTCGTGTGAAAGATGAATGATGAGTGTTTGGGGAGTTTTGGGTGTGTGGAGTTGTGAGCCTGGGGGCCCCAATTCCTATGTCGTCTTAGGATCCTCTAGATGATGTGCCTCACTCTGTTCGTGTAAACCTCAGCAGTCCGAGGCCACCTTCTCATTATAGTATCGTGACGGCCACTCCTTCTCCAACCTGGACTCATGATCAACAGTTTGAGTAACCACGAGGCATAGACCTTGCCATATCAAACTGGGCAACGGTCGAACTCCGGTCAGACAGCTGAATGAATGACGGCTGTGCATGGCGCTTTCCAAAGCGTCCCACCACTGGCCTCGGTTGGCAATATGCGGGATGGTGCGACGAGTGTAGTCATACTGCGTGATTGCCGTCGTGTCCGTGTTGAGCATTGTTGAGCCACACAGTGTGGTAGCTGGCCACTGCAGGGTCTACACTGCTACACAAATCTCGAATACATGGCGCGCTAGGCGGCCGAGTCCTATATGTCGGGAGGACATCAGCCTGCTGCCCGAACGGGCAGAGCTCATGCATCATTTGGAGGCTCGCAAAACCAAAAATGGAAGGCAGGACCGGCGTGACAGCAAAATTTGGCGGCAAAGGCCAGGCGGTCAGTCAGCTCATGCACTAGGCGCAACCCTTCCGCCCTCGCGGGCGCTACGACCAATATAGAGTATGTGATGTGGTGAGCGACGAAGGCATGCCACTGCTGCAAAACTGTAACTTGGCCCGGCACCCGCTGCATGGCCCCATCCTCGTATTCCCCCACAACTATCACAACTTGCCAGCAACTCACAGCCACAGGGGCTGCCGCGCGCCCATTTGCACAGACCCGCACGAGAAGGTAACCCTCGTATAACTGCAAATGATAAACAGTGTCTGCGCACAACATGCGGTGGACGGCAGCAACTTGGGGCTGCATGTGCTGATGCCAAACGCGGCCGAAGCTATCTCTATGAGGGAGCGGCGCACGCAGCTCCGGCCCGGCACCCATGACTGGCTACTTTACAATTCGTCGTCTCTTTCTTTGCCCGGCGTATCCGACACGGGCTGCCAAGAAGTCAGCCCGCTTAAGAGCCATCGAGTCGGCACAGGAACGGCGAGTACGAATACGAGCAGTTCTAATAATACTGCTGCACCATTACTACTTCTACTCCTCCTCTTCATCCTCCTTCTACTACTACTAGTATTACTAATTACCACTACCACTACCAGCCCGCAGCAACATCATCGCCAGTCATCATCATCAACGTCATCATCCCGATCATTGAAACAGCTTGCCAGAAATATGTGAATGCAGAGAACATCCGCACGCTGAACAAGGCCCAACATCAGATATACAATGCATACACGAGAACATGATGTTAACAACCGCCCCAACCCCGGCACAACGCGGAACAGTCAAGCCGCCCAGGGCTTATCAAACAATGCTTGCATCTACACCTGTGCCCGAACACAAGGCACAACACAAGCGGCAGCAGTCGCCTACAGGTGAGAACGACAGCAAAACGAAGCCCGCGGTCGTCGCGACACGTCGCTACAGCACACGTCCCCACTTCTGAAGACGGTGCGAGCTACGAGAAGCGCAAGCAGCGACGAATTGCAAAACGCAAGCGGAGCGGACTAAGAAGTGAACGACCGCGAGAAAAGCAACGAAGACCCGATCATGCATCACCCGGGTCACGCACCGCAGCAGCGGCGGCAACACCAGCGCTTGCAGCAGAAACATCAGCCCTGTAAGCGGCAGGCGACCGCGTAGTTAATGAGCCCACGCGACCACAACGGCAAGCCTTTCCAAAAGGTTTTTGGCGTTTGCGAAGGAACCCTCACTGATGGAGATCGCTTCAGCGATGCAATCCAGGACTTCTGTGCCTTCTGTAGAGGAAGTAAGTGCCTTGCGTGGTCAGAACGAGTGCCTGGAAGCAAATACCCGCGGCTTGGCAGCGAGCTGCCGTGTCATGGTGCTGACACTTGCGGTCGCCATATGCACGAGCAGCGGCACTGCCATCAGATCTAGTATTCCAAGGGCGTTGGCCGTGGCGCTGGTAGCGGCAAGATTTACGGGAACCCGATGGGAGCTCGGCATGCGAGCACCATCGGGGAGGCGAGCTATGGCGAGCTGGCAGGCAGGAAGGGCCACACAGAAGCACGTGGTCCTTGACGACCCTCGCGAAGAGAGAGCTGCCTGAGGAGGCCCCCGCAGCACAGCACAGTGCGTGGTGTCCGGACGAGTCCAGCAAAACACCACAGAAGGAGGAGGGAAGGCCGCCGGCTGAGGGAAACCTCAAGGGAAAACTCCGCGTTGCTGAGACGTTTGTCAAAGGTCTTCGAGGGCGTGGCTACCAATACCCGACCGTCCGTCGGACCAGCCTGGGCTCGTCGCCGACACCGCGAGGCGGCCGAGACAGGTTGCTCCCACAGACCCGAGCTGTGCGGAGCAGCTCGACCCAGGAGACTGAGCTAAGCAACAGACCGACCTGCACATGAGCCCCCTTGAGATCGTATTTTTATATTCAACGCGGCATCACGCAAACGGTTTTGAGCCCATCGCTTGTCAATGAAAGGCTGGAAGAACGCATTGCGGATAATATGGACAAATGCGAGATATGCAAACGGCGTTTCGTTTTTTACAACACGTTTTTGCGACAACAAGCGAAAGTCTTGGCCCTGTTTGCACAGTGGTATCACTGTCACCTACGGGCAGCAAAACCAAGGCAGGCGGCTGGCAAAGGTCCAATATAGGCCTATAACGAAAGAGAACAAGGTTTTGGGGTATATTGGAGCCCCTATATTAGGTCGTAGAATAGGGATGAGGCAACCAGAACTTCCGTGAGAAGTGGCGGATCCATTAACGTTGGAGGTGCCATGGATAGAAAGACAATGACAGCAGGCCGGCAGAGAACGGTCGAGCAGTTCGCAGAGCACAGAAGAGCCATCAGCACGCCACAATGCTGCCCATATGCGGCCGACGCTGGCGCTGCACCAGAACGCGAAAGTGCGAGCAGCCACACAACTTCCAGCAAACATGCGTTGAAAGAGCTGCAAGGAACTGAGTCGACGAGTACAAATCTCTAAAAGAATGTCATTAAACATTCGAACGTTCGAACTCGCAAGGATCGCCGTGGATAGAACCTCCGGGACAAGATGACCGAAGCTCCATGAAAGCATATAGAAACGCAGTGATTTCAAGGTGGTGACAAACACATGCTCCGTCACTAGCAACTGCAGCAATCAAGCGACAAGTTTCAATTTGGCTTGGAATTGCTTGGAGCCAGAAAGGTACGACAAGCTTGCATCGTTGTCTTGGCCGCACGACATCTGCAAGAAAGGCAACTTTGGAGGGATGCTGCTCGCCAAATTCAGCTCCACGGCTGGCAGGAAAAAATCGAGTTGGGATATGTCAAGCCCGCGGTACGTCCCTAAGTCAAGGATTGCGAGCGGCAGGCAAACGTGGAACGATCCGCTCGGTAATGGGTGGGGGTGGGGGGGGGGGGAAGTCTGGCTGAAGCCGAAGCACGGCAACAAATTGTCTGCATGGTCCGAACTCTGGATGCGCGACCACTCCCGGAAACGCCAAGGAAAAGAACCCGCAGATCGCCTCTCAAGTTTGAGACGCAGACAGTCGTCGTCAGCTGTGGCTCGCAGGGCCGTAACATCATGTAACCATGTGCGAATTCTACGTCTGCTCGCAAAGTCGCGGGTCGCAGGTTTCAACCTGCTCATGGCTTTTCCGCTGGATTCCGCTCGTTTGCGCTCACGATCGATATCCACAAGGAGGCGGCGATTCAAGCAATGCGACCATGTCTGGATGCTGCCGGGCATATCCGATCCAGGAAAAACGCTGCAGCTCTGTCCAACTTTTCGGCTCAGTGGGCTGGCCAGATCCTCTTTTCATGGACTCCTGATAATTTGGCTCTCTTGGCAACCCCCCTTAAACAAGGAGGCTTCATCATCAGGGGTCTACACTAGCGTTGCTACCATGTCACTTGTCCCTGCTTGCCCTGCCACGTACGACGACATCGCGTGCGGAGGATCACAATCGTAGTTCTGGCCACGGAGCGGATTGCGATTGCACAGGGAAGAACACATACAGCAGAGGCATGTGTGCTTGGAAAAGGATTTGTGTGTGTATGTTATTGTAGAATTCTAGGAAACACTTGGCTTTGAAGCTAGCGACCGGCAGAGGCATTCTAGAACATGATCTTTAGGCAATGTCGCGAGCTTGGGGTTTAGGGTTTAGGAAATTTCGCAGCACTCCCTGCGACGGTGTTCCACGTTTGCGGTGCGTGCGTTGGCTGCGTGCCTTCGACTGCGGTGCAGTCAGTGCCACCGTGCCGCAGTCCCGAGCGAGATGGCTAAGCCGCTCTATCTGACACGCACAAATATGGGGCGCTGTGCTGCCGTGGGGAAGCACTGCACGACCATGCAAACAAGCACGCAGTGCCTGAGTACTTCGAGGTTGCGGCAGTCAGCTACCCAATGGGTCCATGTACTCATAAAGTGTATGCTACGTGCGTACGCGGGCCCTTATAAGGTCAGCACCAGACTTCAACGCAGGAACCGAACCGTGCAGCAGCTCGGAACTAAACAACACCCGACAAGCTTTGGTTTCACGGCAAGGGGTGCGGCAAATCGGGCGCGCGGTAGAAACGCCGCGGACGCGTCCCGGTTGAAGGGTTTGAGGCTTCACCGGTTCAGGATTGAAGGTTTCAGGTTTAGAGGCTCAGGGTTTGAAAGTGATTGCTTCCTATCAGTGATAGCAGTGCTTGCCACTACCAAGCATTTCAGTGCTCACTGTCTTGAACAACCGCGCCTGCTTCCCCAAAGCCCTTCTTCAGCAAGTAGTTCTGGCACTCCTGGCACTCCAGGCGGCCCCTTTGTTCATGGTAGGTGGAGGAATCCCAACCTCAAAAACACGCGGCCTTCACATTTAGAATAAGCTTTTGGTGGTGTCTGTTACAGTGGATGTTGCGGTATACCCTAAACCCCTATAAGCCCCAAACCCCCAAATAGGTTTTATATATAGGCTCGAATCTGGATATCTACTGCTACGAACACTTCCGACCTCTTGGCGTTCAGGGCTTTAAAGCTTAGGCCTTCGGGCAGAATTCACAGAGAACCTCGCAGCCAGTGCGTAAAGCATAGACCTTGAAAGAGTTTTTTCCTTCGCAGAAGATGCGTAGCCTTACACCCTAAATCCCCTGCACCCCTAAACTCCCTGAACCCCTGAACCCCTAAACCCTGCAAACCCTAAACCCTGAAACCCCTAAACCCCTACAACCCTAAACCCTGAACCTCTAAACCCCTAAAACCCTAAACCCTAAACCCCATAAACCCCTAAACCCCTAAACCCCTAAACCCTACACCAAAGAAAGGAACTGCAAGGGAGACATCTAGTCTTCCCCAAAGTCTCGCCGGAAGCTATTGTAACGGACATGGAAGTCAAGGATTCAGGGATTCGGGATTTGGGGTTAAAGGATTTTTGGGATTTAGGGTTTAGGGGTTGGCGATTTGGGGTTTAGGGTTTAAGGATTTAGAATTAAAAAATCCTTCTGCCCCCTGTAACCCTGATGCCCTTATGAAGCCAAAGGCCCACTCAAAAGTCCTTTTGAACGGGCTTAAGACCTCTCCTAAACCCCAAACCCTAGACCCCATACCCCATAAGGGGACCCCATTCTAGAACCCTAAAGTACCCTTAAGGGTCGCCCGATCATAGAACCCCACAATACCCCAGAAGGTTCAGGGCCCGTTCAGTCTCCTCACCCAGTTCACCGGCTCTCCCGGCGTGGAGCATAAGGCTCACGAAGAGGGGCAAGCCCCACCTGCCATGTTGGCTGATGATTTTTGCTGGTTTTAGGAGGGCGTAGGGATTCTAGGCTTTTAGAGCTTCAAGGCTTGAGAGCTTTGGGGTTCTACTTTGGGCGTGGGGTGTTGGGTCCTCGTTCGTGCTTTGGTGTTGTCGGCGAATGGTTGGCTGGTCGGTTCGTTGGTTGGTGGGTTGGTCGGTGGGTCGGTGGGTCGGTGGGTCGGTGGGTCGGTGGGTCGGTGGGTCGGTGGGTCGGTGGGTCGGTGGGTCGGTGGGTCGGTGGGTCGGTGGGTCGGTGGGTGGGTTGGTTGGTTTGTTGGTCAAAGGATTTCGGATATGGGGCGTCTGATTTTGAACAGCCTTTTTTGGTGTTAACGGTTTTTGCCCCTAAGCCCCGACACATAAGTCTAAGCCACCAACCCTACACTCCAAATCATTCCGGGTGCGGGCTTGGTTGGCCCACCTGTTTACGAGGATCCAGGTTGACAGTTTGAGATTCAAGAGATTCAGCTACTCTCTGGGTGCATCTCGAAATTCGCCCACATTGCTACCCCTTTTCGGGACGTTTCGCAGCTATCCGAAAACGGCGAAGCTAGTCAATAACTAGCATATGCTTCGAAGTAGTCCTACTGGCAACATGGTAACACTGATAGCAGGGGTGATGCCAATAACAAGAGCAGTCATTGACAAAACTAGTGATAATAATATTGCTGATGATAAAATCCCAACAATGCTAACGTTTTGAGTGTTGGTATGAGCGAATATGATGCGAGACTTGGTATTGGTTATTTAAACCCTGCTAAACGCAATTATTCACTCTTCATACTTGTCGCCATTGCTTTTGATGCACCAACCCTAAACCCCTAAACCCTAAACCCCAAACCCCAAACCCAAAACCCCAAACCCTGAACCCTGAACCCTAAACCCTGAATACTCGGTCCTGCTCGCGGCCATTGTGTCGGGCTGCTGCTGCTCGCAGTTCTGCCGGCTGCTCTGCGGGCGATCAGACTCTGCGGCAGGTTTTCAAGCCTAGTATGAGTTGAGGGTTTATAACAGTTTAGGTACCGGATTTGGGCTTACACGGGTTTCATGTAGCGGCTCTGTAAATATACGATTGAAAGGCAGATTATAAGGGGTTAGGGTTCAGCAAAATTTACATTGTGAAGTTTAGTATGCAGGTTTAGGGCTTAGGGTCGCCTGGTATAACTCTACTAGCGGGTTTACAGGGAATTAATTTGTTTTGCTGCATAAGTGCGACAACGGGATGAAGCATCCGTGGCTGCTGATTTGCACGGCGGCGGTGGAACGAGATGGCGCGAAAAGCTGCAATTCAGAATACCGGTTAGGGGTTTATGGTTCGAGTAAACCCAACACCCCGAAACCCCCAAACCAACAAAAACTTAAACCATAAACCCTACACTGCTAAACCCTCAACCCTAAACACTCCAAAACCATCGGCAAAAGACAAAACTAGCACCCACGCGGCTCTTCGGTTGTGTGGGAGGTTTGGAGAATTCTTCGAGCCGCTCCAAACTGTCAGGAACCGTCGAAAGCCTCTATCAGGGCTGTTCTTAAGGGTTTGGGATCTACCGGGCTATTTTTTAAAATGTAGAAAAGCTCTGTTCCTTTTAAGCATCCATACTATATAAAGGCTCTGGTAAGGGATCCATGAAGCTTTTGC